AGTCGGAAAGTGGATGCTCTCACTTTAAACTGATCATCACTGATGAAAATTCCTAGTGTCCACCATTCTCCTGATGCAAAATTTCGACACATTTCTTAAGCTATTAAATTTTGGAGTTAATTTCCTATATTACCATTTATCATATAAAAAAATAATTACAGGTTGTAATCATATACATACATTCACGTTCCATCCATACTCTCTTTAACGTCAGATAAATTCTAAATGTTATTACGGAAAGAAAAAGAAAAACCCCGATGTGTGAATATTATAAAAACCCGGTATATCTCCACCTGCTTTTGATAAATATTAGGAAGAGGACTTTCTTGGAGTGGATCCAGCTCATTTGGATTCCACAGTCAAACCGAGCAACGACCACATTTTATTTTTATTTTGCAATTCCCTCACAACCCTAGGTATTACCGATGTGTCCGACCGAATTCAACCTAATCCATTCATTTTTGAATCGCTGACATTAAAAACCGCCGAACGACTCCATTATAAATTAGAACGTTTTTCAAGAATAATGGAGCCAAATAAATCAATAATCAAAAACCCATTATAAAACCTTTATATCTAGTATCTTGCATATAATACAACAGTTTAACCGTAGAAAAAGTTTCTTTGGTGTCAGTTAACGTCTTACCACATTTGTTTATAAAAACTTGCAAATTTGAGTTGATCAGATAGTTTACATAACAAATTTGCATATTACTCTACCATAAATAGAAATATTTCAATATCTCGTTTTGGATTCTTCAATTACTAAAACTTCACAATGATCATTTTGTACATTTGATAAAAATTTTACGACCAGGTCAAAAGCGTAATAATTATTACCAATAAAGTTACAACTTCAGAATACCCACCAGAAAATTATTAAAGTAAAAATAAAGCGAACTTAAAATGATTTAATAGTAACTGAATTAAATAGTAACATTATTTAAACTTCAGAAGACCCACCAGCAACGGAATAATTAATGAAAACTCTTCACCGTCAGAGGATCTACCACCAACTGAATTAATTCACGATAAAGCTCAACTTCAAAAGACTTAATAGCTACGAAAATCAAATGATAGGAACGACTCAACTTCAGAGTTGTAAGTGCAACTGAATAATTAACGAAAAGTCTTCAACTTCAGAGGATCTACCAGCAACAAAATAAGTTAACAATAAAGCTTCAAATTCAAAATATTTAGCAACTAAATTAAATAATAGTAACGAGTCAACTTCAGACGTCTAGGTGAAACTGAAAAATAAAAAAAAACTCTTCAACTTCATAGGACCTACCAGCAACCAAATTACTTAACAATAAAACTTCAAATTCAAAATATTTAGCACTAAATTAAATAATAGTAACGAGTTAATTCAGACGTCTAGGTGAAACTGAATAATTACAAAAACTCTTCAACTTCATAGGACATACCATCTTCGACTAATTAACGAAAAGTCTTCAACTTCAGAGGACCTACCAGCAACTGAATAATTAAAGAAAAACCTTCAACTTCATGGGACATACCATCTTCGAATAATTAACGAAAAGTCTTCAACATCAGAGGACCTACCATCAACTGAATTAGTTAACACTAAAGCTTCAAATTCAAAATATTTAGCAACTAAATTAAATAATAGTAACGAGTCAACTTCAGACGTCTAGGTGAAACTGAATAATAAAAAAACTCTTCAACTTCAAAGGACCCGCCATCAACTGAATAATTAACGAAAAGTCTTCAACTTCAGAGGACCTACCAGCAACTGAATTAGTTAACAATAAAGCTTCAAATTCAAAATATTTTGCAACTAAATTAAATAATAGTAACGAGTCAACTTAATATAATTTGACAATTCTAAGCTATTATGCACATTGTCTTTTTCTGTCCTGAATATGAGACAGAAAGAGAGAATCTTTTAAGACGAATCTTCCAGCGGAAAGAGGTGATCAAGCCGTTCAGTTATGAAACCTTGTTGGCAACAAGTAGTGGTGTTATATACAAATATATTTTTGACTTCCTAGACGATAGTGGAATAGATATATAGACTTCAAACAATAATCTATGTCCGGGAGGCCTGCCCGCGCGGCCGGGGCGGGCCGGCCGGGCAGCCGTCGGGGGGAGGAGTGGAGTGCTCAGGGCGCCTTTTGCCCCGGGTTGCGGGGAGGATGTGGACTTTTCCACAGCGCTGTAAAGCGATGTAAGTGGTTTTTATCTATATCCTCCCAATGCACCCGTAAGAGAGGGCGGAGTTCCCAATTGTAGAAAAAAGAAGTCAGGGTGGGCGCTCTAGGTCTCTTCCCGGGGGTGGCTTTGGTCGGCTCGCGCGGGTCGGGCGGGTGGTGTCGCTGGCAACACGGGACACTGGCCGTATGCTTATAAGCAAATCCACCCAAAAAAAAAAAAAAAAAAAAAAAAAAAAAAAAAAAAAAAAAAAAAAAAAAAAAAAAAAAAAAAAAAAAAAAAAAAAAAAAGCTATTATGCCAAAAAAAGTAACATAAAATAACATATGTTTCTAGACTGACTTGAATGTAGAGTAGCAACACCAAATATATAATCATGTACCATGTGTGCGTTATATTATTAATATTGCACAGCTGTAAAATTGTTTTTAACCAAGCATGATATCAGCTGAAAGATTAATGATTTTTCTACGAAACAAAATTTTTCATCATGTTGATATATTTTTTTATTTTTTTTCTTAACGCTGTTGTGTATGTTCAAGCTATTGAAAAATTTGGAGGCAGATATGCGGACGAGGGAGAGTTTCCGTATGTCGTTTTTATTCACGGGGAAATAATGTGTACAGGTGCTTTGTTGAGCATGGCAAGAGCGGTAACCGCAGCTCATTGCTTTCAAATCAAGAAGAATGGCAAATTGGTTGCTGTAAATTTAAAAGACACGATGGTATCAGCAGGATCTTATGAGCGGTCTAGCAAAAAGAACGCTCATAGGAAAGTAAAAAATGTCTTGGTGGCCAGTGGATATCAATCAAACGTTAGATTAAATGGAGAACTGGACAATCACAATATCGGCATAGTGGTTCTAGTTGAAGCATTTAAACCCGCAAAAAACCTTCAAGCTATGGAAATAGTTTCGACGTATGAGAAAAGATTTATAAAAAAATGGAACGCTTTCCTCGATGAGAGTTTGGCTTGCTATAGTGTAGGTTGGGGTCCGTCCTTATTGAAGATTAACCAGAGTGCCGAACACGCCGCTGAAATAAGTAACGTACTGAAAGTGTTCGAAGTAAGAGTTCTATCGAATAAGCATTGTGGAGAATTGTTTAATCCTTATGAGGATATGACAGCATACGGGGAGATTTGCGTTGATTCTCTTCAAAAAGACGAGTACATGTGCGACGGGGATCACGGGAGTCCCTTGGTATGCGATGGACGCCCTTATGCTGTGCTTAGCTTTTCTCCGGAGTGTGGAAGTCTTAATTTTCCACAAATTTATATTTTGTTTTGGAACTACCTAGACTTCTTAGACTTCAATCATGCTTCTCATTTGTTGATTACGAAATGGTTGATTTTCTTTCTATGTTTTCTCGTTCTTAAGAAATATATATGCTATTTTCACTAAATACAGCATTTTTACATGAAGTGGTATTCCATTGGTCCATAAAAAAATCAAATGGACAACTTGATGCACACAATATAAAAAAAGAGACTACTAAACAACTACTAACAAAATATCTAAACTGACAGTACTTAACAAACAACTTTTTTACATTACCCAAATTGCCACAATTTTACGGACTTGGTCTTTACGGGACAGCCCATCTTTCCCATTTTTCAAATGTCGTGTAATCGGTTTGGATTCTCGACGACAATTGAAATAGCGACGGAGAGCTTTAGTGAAGTGTACTTCATTTTAATTCATTAAATTCACTAATTTCGTGGTCCGCTTGACAAATGGCAAAAGGAGGGAAAACTCATAAGGTGGGGTTGAGATGGGGAGTTGATGTCCGAGTGGATCGAGGTCACGATAGCTCAAGGTAGTAGAGCAGCGGCGTATCTAGCCGAAGGTCGTGGGTTCGAATCCCTCTCGTGCCATTAGCTTTTTTTCATCTCAACTAAAAACCTTAAATTAATTGTAATGACTAAACTTAAAAAAATTTTTTTAAGTTCATCAATATTTACAAACCTAGACAATAGCAAATTTCAGAAAACATTCATAATTCATTAAATTCACTAATTTCGTGGTCCGCTTGACCAATTAATACATTACAATTAATTAAGGTTTTATGTTGAGATGAAAAAAAGTTAATGGCACGAGCGGGATTCGAACCCACGATCTTCGGCTAGATACGCCGCTGCTCTACCACTTGAGCTATCGTCACCTCGATCCACTCAGACATCAACTCCAAAAAGGAGGGAAAACTCATAAGGTGGGGTTGAGATAGGAAGTTGATGTCTGAGTGGATTGAGGTCACGATAGCTCAAGTGGTAGAGCAGCAGCGTATCTAGCCGAAGATCGTGGGTTCGAATCCTGCTCGTGCCATTAACTTTTTTTCATCTCAACTAAAAACCTTAATTAATTGTAATTCATAATTCATCTAAAGTTCTTTTTGGTGGTGTAACTTTTTTTTAATTAGTTTTTTTAAAGATGAAGAAATTGATAGAGGAAAGGAAAAACCGTGACTGGCGGATTGGACAAGTGTGTGTGTGTGTGTGTGTGTGTGTGTGTGTGTGTGTGCGTGTGTGCGTGTGTGCGTGTGTGTGTGTGTGTGTAAATCATATAATTTGTTGCGTTTTGCATTTGGTATTCAGTTGTAAAATAAATAAATCTAGAAAATAAAATGCATCAAAAAACTTTGAGTTCGTTTTGTACTCATAAAACTGTATCCTAATTAGGCAGATTTTCTTCAACCAATGGGATTAGGTACTTTTCGCTCTGCTAAACTTACTGAAACTATTTGCGGACCATAGACAATATTTTTCTGGTAATCTAAAAAATTAAGAATGTGAAAAAATATATCAGCCATATGGTTGCGACAAAACGTCGGTTTTAAGTAACCATACATTAGTGAAAATCATGTGTAACAAATCATTTTTATTGTAAGAATGTTATAAGTAATTACTTAGCAAGAAAAAAGATAATAGAAACAGCCATTTCGGTATTATCAGACGAGTACCAATAAGCGTTAAGAAGTCCAAGTAGTTCCAGTAGAGAAGATAACCCTGTGGATACCAGGTAATGCCACATCTCGGACCGTGGTTGAGTAGTGCATAAGGCCGTCCATCGCAGACCAACGGACCTCCGGAATCCCCGTTGCAGATCGTCTCGGAATTTTTAACTGAGTAAACGCAGATTTCCCCGTACATCGTCATATCTTCTTTTCGTGGAAACAACATAGAACAAGATTCATTATCCGCAGGCATTACTTGGATTACTTTCAAAATAGGAGAAGGTTTAGTCGCAACGACATCTGTTCCAAAATTGTTCAAACGATATGCCGTCATTCCCCAGCCCATGGCATAGCAAATCGTTTTCTTCGCGACTATTTCGTCCCAACTATGTTTGAATTCTGCAGCATTCCAAGAAACTAGATTCATGACTTGCAAATTTTTCCCCGAATAGAATGGATAATCCAGTAACGCCAAGCCGATATCGTGACTGTCGATTTTACCGCCGAATCGAGATCTGGGTCTATATTCACCAGTCAACAATATGCTATTTATTTTCCTTTCTTCGAATCCTTCATTGAAGTTCTTCAAATTGACGGTACCTCCTAGGACATATACTTCATTGATATCACTCCTGTCTTGTCCGCCTACCGTCAAGCAATGGGCAGCGGTCACTACTTTAGCAAAGGTCACTAAAGAACCGGCACAAAATATTTTCCCATTGATATATACGACGAAAGGAAACTCTCCTACTTTCGCATATCTTCCACCAAATACTTTCTCGCTCTCAGACGCAAGAGCCACGCTAAAAACTGAAATTAACAAATAAAACAGCATGTTAACATTCTTTCGCTCATTTTTTTTCTGCAAGTCATATGGATGGTTTTAATAAATTGTTCTCATATGAGGGATGACAAACAATGAGACGGAAAATATTCATTTGTGTGTCGTTAAAAATAATAGTTTGCACATTTGATATATTCGAGACACTTTTTATATTATCATTATAATAATGTTACATAAAACGATATTAATGTTGGGTTGGAAAACAAACCAAATCGACGTCCATCATGACCATTTGGTTAAATTACGTTAGTACTAGTTTTAGTGACCCGTTGTTTAATAATTTGTTCGATTCGTAGATTTGACCATTTGATCTCAATAAAAATCAACAGTTATTATTACATCCACACATTCGGCTACTTCTAACTGAAAAGCGAAGGGCCAATCTGGCAGCGTAACAGATATCCGAGTGAACATTGACGGATGAACCAACTCGTGAGAAAGCTGAAACAAGAACTGGCCAAACTTAGGGCTGAAATGTACAAACAATATACTACTTCGCTTTCCAAAACAGACAAGTCTTTGTGGTACTGTACCCGTAAGATCCTGCGATATAAGGACCACACGCCTCCTATACGCAGTAACAACCCTTGAGCAAAATCCAATTCCGAAATTGCTAAATTGTTTTCAGAGCATCTTTCCACAATTTTTACTGCACACCATGACATACTTGATCATGACCATCAGCTTAACATTGAACACTACTGGAATGTTCCCTTCCACCTCTCTTATCCTCCTAAAGCATTTACTCCATCAGACATACGACACACTATTAAACAATTACATTCACGAAAAGCTCCAGGTTATGTTACAATACCTACAATATATTAAATTTGTATTTAATTACAAAACAAATATTACAAAATTTGCCCCACAGAGGATTACTATACTTAACATACTTACTCAACGCTGTACTCAGGACCACATATTGCAATGGGTGGTATGGTATGGTATGGTGGAAGGGATGCTGGGAAGCGGGGCTTGTATTCCCCAGGCACTGCAGCCTTCTGGGTTATTGTACCTTCCCAGTTCCCTAGTTTAGTCAATAGACTCAATCCTTCTTCTCAGAAGTATCAGGTCATTGACTGTTATTGCTGCAATTTGATTCCCTAAGTTTTTTCCGTACGTTAGGTTAAATCTCATTGAGCTGTTGCTTCGTATTCGAAGATGATATGAGTGGCTGTTTCCTCCTCCTCATTACATAATCTGCAAATGGGATCTTTGTTGTATATACCCATGTAGTGTAGATGTTTTCTCAGATACCAGTGACTAGTTAGTAGTCCTACCACTCCTCTGAGTTTGACCCTCTCCAATTGGAGCAGTGCTATTGCCAGTCTTGGTGAGGGTTGTTTCTTCATAGGTTTACTATGTCTAGCACCTCTGGAGTTTATCCACTTCTCCTTTTGTTTTGTTTGTATCCTTGCGATGGAGGATTCTTTTTTTATTTTTGTTATCCCAATAATAGGTTCGGGGCCTATGTATGGACTTGCAGATTCAGTGCTTAACTATAATTATACTTTTCATCAATATGTTTAATATGTTTTTGTTTATATATGTNCAAACAAACCGACGTTATAAATTGTTAAAAAGACTACTCGACTCACGATCAAAATTAGACCTTGAAAATAAACTTTTAATTTACAAGACAATGATTAGACCTCTCTGGGCGTACGGTTGTGAAGTGTGGGGCTCAACCAAGGATTCCAATTCCCAGCGTCTCCAATCAAAATAATCTAAAATTCTCCGTCAAATTATAAATGATCTTTTTTACGTTTCAAATTACACTATCCATAAAGACCTGTACATCCCGTTTGTACTCATCAAAACCCGATATACAAAATTTCATCAATCACTGAACACACACAGTAATCTATTCGTACGAAATTTATCACTTCCAACCCTACCTGAAAATCCTCCAAGACGATTGAAGCGAAAGTGGCCCCCGAGACCTTCTCATTGTGTGACTGAACAAGATATCAGTGTGAAGGAGTGTTACCACTGGGCAACTTCTCCTACAATAGCCTCAAATGATAATTCAACATATACGAACATATTTACTTAATACATCACTTGTAGTTGTAAATACCAAATAAATGTAATAAAAAAAATTTAAAAAAATTGACCTCACGAATCCAACAAATCGTTAGTACTAACTTTGAACCTTTGTCTTAGTAATAAAATACTTTAAATCTTTATCGACGTTTTTTATACCGCATATTTGTTGAATACACGCGCTTCAGCATGTAACAACCGGTGTCCAAAGATTTTTCATTGGCCCCATTTTTAAGCCGGGAACGCACTTACCCGATGCTACGCCATGCGACGCTACCCGATGCTACCCGACGCCTTGCCGCGTTTTGGTGGGGTGTGCACATCTCCGACGTCAAGCGCACGACACGTACAGGGCACAGCGCGTATCACAAATCAGTAAATATGCCTGTACGTGTCGGCTAAAGATCCAACAAAATGCAAAACACTTTTAAGTCGAGCAATTGTTGGGCTTTCAGGTTGTATGAAAGAAAACAGACTCACAATCTCGGAAGGTAAATTTCTCTTATGCCCTTTTACTAGGAAAAGGAACATTGATCTCCGTGGTAGTGAAAATCTAGGAGGGTATAACTTTCCTGTAGTTTCTCAGGTAAAGTTTTTGGGTTTACATCTTGATAGGAAATTAATGTGGAATACACATATCTCTTATATGTTAATGAAATGTGAGAAGCTGTACAATATTTTGCGGTCTATAAGTAATAAAAAGTGGGGAGTGGACCCACACATAGGTATGTTGTTTTATAGATCCTGTTAGAGCTATTTTGGATTTTGGATCAATTTTGTACGCACAGGCTTCTAACACCTCTCTGAAACGATTGGATACGGTTCGCAATAAATTTGTTAGGAGAATTTTAGGTTGTTTACCAAGTACACCCATTCCAGCATTATCTGCAGAAGTATGTGAACCTCCATTAGAGATCAGGAGAGAAAAGTTGGCGGGTAATTTTGCAATTAAGCTATATTCAGAAGTTAGCCCTATATTTTCTAAAATCAATCAGTTGGTAGTCAAAGACCTCACAAATCTGTTTTGGCAAAAAAAGAAATCCCCTCTGTTGGTTTCCTCCTTTCTCTCTTTAACACCCCTTGTAAAGTAGAGTGACCCTTCTTGTTTAAAGGGTAGTCCTCACTACTTTGGGGGGGGGGGCTGGTTCGCCTAGAACTATGATATTAACTGTAGGGAGAATAAACGAAAACACAAGAAATAAACGGAAAATACGCCTTTTATTGCGACAATAAAATCATTTTCGAATTGTGTAATAAAATTAAAATGAGAAAAGGAACATAAGTTCGAAATAAAGGAAAGGCTATAACTTAAAATGTTCTCACAACAAAAAAAAAAACAAAAAAAAACTGACGGAGCTCCGTATCAACAAAACACAAGAAAACTTTTTACTTCTTTTAAAAATATAACTCAAATCAATTTCTGGAGTCAAAATAACAAATTCGGGTTTGTTGACGGACGGAGGTTATCAGGCAACAGTAACGATACCAGTCTTGGCGTCGGTAGGTTGTCCTGGCAACAGGTCTGCAGAGGGGTAGTGGTGAGTCCCGCGGCGCTTCCAGCGGCGTGGGTTGGAAACAGTCACTTTCCTTTTGATAGTGCTGCGGTAAGGTAGGCGGAGCAGATCTCCAGAGAATCACGAGCGTCGTCGCGCAGGCGCAGAACATAGAAAAGGCCACTTCTCTCGTCACGGCTGAACGGACACTGCCTTCCGTGGATCTATCACCAGTGGATTACCCGCCGCACTATCGCCCGACTAATCCTCCATCATCAACAAATAAACTAAACGAACCTTTCCTTCGGCTCAAATAAAATTAACGTCTCCTTGTTCGGGCTCATTCAAATAAATTAAAATAAATGTCCTGGTGGCGTCAACATTCCGCCCACCAAAATTTACATAAATTTTCAATTTTTGTGTGTGAAGGAATTAGGGACGAGGTGGATTGTCAGGAAGGAATCAGGGGGGCCAGACCGGTTACAGGGCGAGTATATTCTCCAGAGGGGGTTCTCACCTTGACCACTCTTGTTCTTCCATCCTTCCCCGGGAATGTCTCGAGGATTCGACCTATAGTCCATTGAAGAGGAACAACGGCGCGATCCCTTAAAAGGACCATGTCTCCCGGTTGGGAGAAATACCATATGAGGGGATGGTATATTAGATTTTATCAATTAGTTGGATGTCTGTTTACTATAAAAGTCATAAATTGTCAATTTTGATAACATTTGTAATACTAACTTCTTTTTGGGATCGTCGAAACGAATGGTTCTTCATTGAATTTTAAATATAGCTGTCCAAATCGACAGATTATGATAAAATTATATTTGTGCTATTTATTCACATTTTGAAGTAGTTATGCAAGGTCTTCCTGCTACTACGATTTCCTAAATTAAGCTTTTAACTAATTAGTATTAACTTCGTGCGGATCTCTTGCCCATGCATATCTCACAATAAAACAGCTGTTCAAATAAAATACGGCAATTATATTATCAGCATTTCAATGAGCACATATGTTTGTGCAAAGTTTAATTTTTAAACAATGGTAAAAATCGTGTGGAAATTATTTTTATTGTTAGAATTTTAAATGTAATTGCATAATAGGTATAATAATATGAGGAGAATCAGCCATTTTGATATGAACAAATGAGTACCGCTAAGTGTTAAGAAGTCCAAGTAGTACCAAAATAGAAGATAACCCTGTGGAGACAAGGTAGTGCCACATCTCGGACCGTAGTTGAGTAATGCGTAAGGGCGACCATCGCAGACCAACGGACCACCGGAATCGCCGTCGCAGATCGTCTCGTGTTTTTTAACTGAGTAAACGCAGATTTCCCCGTACATCGTCATATCTTCTTTTCTTGGAAACAACATAGAACAAGATTCATTTTTTTCAGGGATTACTGGGATTACTTTCAAAATAGGAGAAGGTTTAGTCGCAACGACATCTGTTCCGATACTGCTGGAATGATATGTAGTCGTCCCCCAGCCCATGGCATAGCAAATCGTTTTCTTGGCGACTATTTCGTCCCAACTATGTTTGAATTCTGCAGCATTCCAAGAAACTAGATTCATGACTTGCAAACTTTTCCTCGAATAAAATGGATAATCCAGTAACGCCAAGCCGATATCGTGACTGTCGATTTTACCGTCGAATCGCGATCGTGGTCTATATTTACCAGACAACAAGACGCTAATTACTGCCCTTACTTCCCTTTGGTCTACTCCATCATTGAAGTTCTCTACATCGACCGATCCTCCTACGACATATTGTCTGTTCGTGTCTACATTCGTGCTTTGCTCCTTTACGAAGTACAAGCAATGGGCTGCAGTAACTACCTTTGCCAAGGTCACTAAAGAACCAGCGCAAGTCTTTTCCCCACGGATAGATACGACGAACGGAAACTCCCCATCTTTCGCAAATCTTCCACCAAATACTTTCTCACCGTCAGAAACAATTACCCCGCTCAAAATTAAAATTAAATAATATAACATCATGTCAATATATTTTTCGCCTTTCCTTCTACAAGTCAGGTGTTTCATATGTTATAAGATAAATAAAATAAACCTAGTTATAGAAAATACACATTTTTTAGTGTAAGAATAAGAAGTTAGTACTATAGATTTATTTTGTTTTTTTATAACATAGGGCAACATCTTGCAAATCCAAGTATTAATTACGTTTTCATACAAAGACAATAAACCTGCTTCAGCATGCGTTCAATCATAAAAAATATTTTTATTCAAAATTTGAAATTTATAATAATTGATAAGTGTCATAATTCTGATATATTTTTGTATTGTTCTTTTATCGATGTCCTTCCTTATTAAGGTAAAAAGTTATTACGTGAAAGATAGGTATATAAATCCAGGATACTAAGAAAAATAAATAAAATGTATCATGATGTCTGATGGATAAAAATCAAGGTCGAGACTGGACGGTGATTCGAATCTCTTGATATCGGTTTGGCCTTTCTAGATGGTAATTTCATATTTCACCGATAATCCAACATGAAAATGTTTCTAGGAGGAAAAATTATTTAGAGGGATGTAAGGACGCTGTAAGGAGGGTAAACTTTGATTCTGAGAACTTTGCATTTGAAGGACTGAATCCTGATATTGATATGACTATATATCCAAATCTCTTTTTTACTTCATTTATTTTTATCTACAACTATAAAGGTATTCAATTCAGCCAGTGTTTAAGTAAAAGGGACAGAAACAATTAGTCTTAAAATTTTGAATTGAAAACTGTAATCTTTCAATATTGGAGTATTTGGCGTGGAGTATGTGTATGTTGAAAGTGTGGTGATTAGTGACCGTTAATCGATATTTATTTAGAAATCGTGAGATGCGGTCTGGTGTGATGTAGGTTTCAGAAAAACATTTTCTTTATCGTGCCAACGTTTCGATCTTTATTGAGATCATCTTCAGGACCTGGAATTTACAAACATTGTTTACATTTAAAAAATACATTTAGGATGTAGAAAAGTGAATTTATACAATGCAAAATATATTTTTTATATTCAATCAAAGTATTTCTACATCCTAAATGTTTTTGTTAAATGTAAACAATGTTCGTAAATCCCAGGCTCTGAAGATGATCTCAATAAAGATCGAAACGTAGGCACGATAAAGAAAATGTTTTTCTGATACTTACATCACACCAGACCGCATCTCACGATTTCTGAATAATTATCGATTAACGGTCACTAACGACCACACATTGTTTTAATTGTTGATTGTTAAATTTAAATTAATTATGTATATTTTTTCTTAATAAATAGGCCCTGATGATGGCAACATAATGTTGCCGAAAGCTTGGTGATCCCAACACTTTTGTCTTTCTTTCACCTAGTAAATACCTTAAAGAAGATTTGAACTCTACATCCTGAGACATAAATAGTCAACAAACGAAAAAGAAGAGTAAAAAATAGCAATTTTTTTTTTCTTTGGGTGAAAATGCACAAAAAAATGTGTATGTACTATAGGAAGTAACGGCTTATATTAACTAATTAATTATTGTATTAAAAAAACTCTTACCAAAATTAAAAAGTTTTTGCTCAGACAGGGCTTTATTTTAAAGGTTAGGACAATATATTGGCATTATAAAACACCATCTGTATAACATGGTTTGTATTCAAAAATGACACTATTTGCAAGTTAGGCAATGAGCAAGAAGAACAGCCACCCATAAAATCTTCAAATGTTAAGCTACTGCTCAATTTAGTCACAACATGGGGTACAAAGCAAACCCAGGGAAAAGGATTGTAGTAACGACAATCAATGGCCTTATACAAAGAGAAGGATCAAGCAATAGTTCGGTTCAAGGAAATAGGAAAATCCAGAAGGCTGCAGTTCTCGGGAACAGAAAACTCTCTATTTCCTTGATTTCCATAATCATTCATATTAATTATATTAACAGGGTTAAAGATCAACGTTAACTTCTAATAATTGAATAAGTGGTGGGTACCGAAGTACCCTCAGGAGTTTGGTGGCTTCTAGTGATTCCATTTTCAGCTACCCCCCAGAAAGGTAGAGAAGGATAGCTCTACCTGCGGCTCCGGATGGAAGGTACCTTCGAGCTGAGGTACCAGTTATCTAGAAACCACGAGTCCAACCTCAATTGGGGGCTACTTGAAGTCACCCCCTCCCGTGGTTGTTTTATTTTTAAGGTGAGACTGATCATCCACCCGGGGGTTGCACCTGTACTGTTTTCACCTGTTATCCGAGCGGGTGAGGGTTTAGTATCCTTGAAGGCCTCCACCAAATCGTAGGGGGTAATTAAGAGAATTAAAGAAGGGAAAGGATTGGAATGGGAAGGTAAGGGAGGGTTGCCTCCATCATTGGTTACCCTTAGACACCAGGGCTGATGGTAGGGCTTGTCTAGGCCCAAGGAACTTTACCCCATGAGAAAATAAAATAAATACAGTTAGAATCAATACATCCTGATTTGGATCCATCAAAAGGGATCGTTTACCGTTGGTCGTACTCATAAATCTAGTGCGTAATACCGCTCATTCAAGCCATGGTATTTGGTATGATGTCTCAGAATATATTTTTCATCGTCACAAAATAGACCGAAGATCAAAAAGAAAATATGAAAGTAGAAGTTTAACCATACTGTAGATGCTTAGTTTAACAGATGTTTAATATACGATAGTGAAAATAAATTCATATTGCAAGACATTTTTATTACAAAAATTTTAGGCATGGTAAAGTAGCAAGAGAAAAGATAAAGGGAAGAATATCAGCCATTTTGATGGTAACAAATGAGTACCACTAAGTGTTAAGAAGTCCAAGTAGTACCAATACAGAAGGTAACCCTGATGAGAAAAGGTAGTGCCACATCTCGGACCGTAGTTGAGTAATGCATAAGGCCGTCCATCGCAGACCAACGGGCCTCCAGAATCCCCGTTGCAGATCGTCTCGGAATTTTTAACTGAGTAAACGCAGATTTCCCCATACATCGTCATATCTTCTTTTCGTGGAAACAACATAGAACAAGATTCATTATCCGCAGGCATTACTTGGATTACTTTCAAAATAGGAGATGGTTCAGCAGCAACGTCATCTGTTCCAAAATTGTTCAAACGATATACCGTCATTCCCCAGCCCATGGCATAGCAAATCGTCCCTTTAGTAACAATTTCGTCCCAACTATTTTTGTATATCGTGGCATTCCATGAAACTAGGTTCATGACTTGCAAAGTTCTTCCCGAATCAAATGGAGAATTTAACATCGCCAGGCCGATATCATGACTGTCGATTCTTTCGTGGAATCGCGATCTTGGAACATATTCACCAGTCAACAAGATACTATTTACTGTCCTTACTTCTAATCCACCACTGAATTTCCCCAAATTGACAGATCCTCCTGTGACATATAATCCACTGATATCATCCCTATCTTGCTCGCTTTGGAAAACATTCAAGCAATGAGCAGCGGTCACAACTTTAGCCAAAGTCACCAAAGAACCAGCACAGATTATTTTCCCACGGATAGATACGACGAACGGAAACTCCCCATCTTTGGCATATCTTCCACCAAATACTTTCTCACTCTCAGAAGCATGTACCGCGCTAAAAACTAAAACTAACAAATAAACCAGCATAATAACATTTTTTTCTTTTATCGAAGTCACGTGTTACATAGATCATAATAAAAATAAAACATTTTCCCTTACATAAACAATTTCTCTTAAATTAGTATTTCACTAATTGAGCTGGCAATATCTAAGTGTATCTTGATTATGGCAATAAATTAAAGATTATTTTCATATCATATTTATTTTTATGGAATATAATGTTGGAATTGACAGAAAATCAAATCGAAGGCAAACCTCCTGTCATAATCTTTAGTTTAGATTAAGTTATTTTTTTATTGATAAAATTTATGAAATTGTTTGATGTTCTGTTTTCGGTTTATCAAAAGTTAGCCATTTTTAGATGAAGAACCTCAAAACTTGCTTGTTTTCGATTGTCTCTTTCTTTTTGTACGGCATACTTGATTTTTTTTTTGGTCTCCATTAACTTTGTGTTGAAATATTCATGAATCACATTGAAAAATGTATATCAAATCAAATATCGAATATGGTCTGGAACCCCATAGGATCTAAAAAAATTCCTCCAACTTTTAATTGTTTACACCTTAATATAAATTTTACATATAAATAAAGATGGTTGTTTACACTTTTTTGACTTAAAATTATTCATGGTTATTCTTAAAAGAGTAGCTTTTTGCTATTTGATCAACGCAACAAACAAGGTTGACTTCTTGTATCAAATGTCTCGTATATCAGTCGTCTGTTTTAAAGTGCCAGTTTTGATCGTTTGTCTAGGAGTCATAAAAGTGTTTTGTTGGGTCTAGTCAGTTCCTGCTTTTTTAGTCTTGTATGGAGATTCCAAGTTAATCCATAGTTAAGCCAAATATACCGGACGTTGTTAGCTATAGGAAGGTATATGGTGTAGGTACAATGGCGGCATTATTACGTCCAAGGGTAAGGATTACGTATTAGCTTTTATCTATTACTGTACTAAGGATTAAGTGAGTGGACGGGATTTTTTTTTAGAGGAGACGATAACAGTATCATCCGTAAAAGTGTGAATGGATCTGCCCTGATGGTTACGGAGGTTAGCAGTATACGTCAAATAAATGATCTGATCGAGGACACTACCCTGCGGGACTCCGGCCATAACGAGATAGTAGAGAGCAAGATGTTCCCCAGCTGACCTGAAAGAAGCAGTCAGTCATGTAAAATCGAAATATGAGGAAGTCGATAAGGGAAGGATGTCCTTGAACTTGCACAGAAAACCCGGTGCTCTATCAAAGGGTTAAGCAACATCAAAGAAAGCGTACGAGCAGTACTATTTCAGCTCAACAGAAAGAGATGAACATTGAGTAACCAATACCTCAGATAATTTCAAACATATTTCAGAGGTCTGGAAGTTCTGTTGAAATAATGAACTTTTGTAAGGATCTTTCAATTTAATATGGTTATTACTTGAGATAAAAAAGTCAGTGTCACTAGCGGGTTTCGAACCCAGGATCTTGATACGCCGCTGCTCTAACACTTGAGCTATCGTGACCTCGATCCACTCGGACACTAACTTCCCATCTCAACCTCACCTTTTGAATTTTCCCTCTTGAACGCGAGTACGTGAGATTTGTCCGTTTGCCATAAGGTTAATTATAAGTTCCGAATTTTTTTTACATGTATGATGTTATAACATTAATGACCTCAGGGCCAAAATAGAAGATTTTATATTTGTTGATTTATTATCTGGTGTCGATATTTTTATTTTGCTAGAGACATTTGTGTTGGAGAATGATATTAATTTTTGTAATGTTTTAGTAAATTCTTTGGGTCCTTCTTTCTTAAAATTGCAATGTGCTACAAAAGTATTTAGTTTAGAAAAAATTTAGTTATATTAGGTGATTTTAATGACAGAACAGGGAGAATTCTAGTCCGTAACCATAGCTTCAGATGGTTCTCTCTTTTCTTTAACAGTAATTCTACTATGATGTGTACTGATGTGCTAGGATATGTTCACAGCTACTTTCAGTATATGATGTGTAAGCTTACAGATAGCTTTTTCTCAACCAAACTATCATGTGTATCGTTTCAACTTGGTTATTTGTAGTAATCTTAACAATTACATTTCAAAAATGATTACCAGTTTAAATTTGTCCAGCGTTACGTTGAATGCTGTAAAAATTAGTTCACTATAAAGACAAAAAATTATCGATTCCGAGAATAATTTCTAAGACTCATAATAGGTAGCTTCAAGCTTGAAACACACCCGATGCTACACCATGCGACGCTACCCGATGCTACCCACGCAAAACCAAACTCCGATTTTCCATAAGGTTGCATTACTCCCGTGCACTTCTACCCGATGCCATGCCACGCTAACCTACCCGACGCTCTGCGATTCCCACTGTCCAGATTTTCTTCGGGTCGCATCGAGTACAGTCGAAGACAAAAGAACCGGACACTTATATTTTTATTCAAACTACATGTATTATTGTCGTTATATTAATTACAACATACTTATTTTAATATAAGCCAAATTAACTGTGATTAAAAATTAATTAGTTTTTATTTAAAAAATTAATTTTAATGGTTTGGTAGAAAATTAATGAAAACACCGGAATACGATTTTTTGATGTAATGAATTTAACTAACAATTTATTGTACTCGCTTCGGCGGTACATATACTAAAATTGGAACAATTTATTACACGGTTTTGCTCATAAAATGTAATTAACAATTTATTTCATAGTTTTGCTCGTAAAATTATAACATTTTGTAATATCGGGAAGCATCAGAACAGGACACTCATAATTTTTGTAGTTTATTTCAAACTAAGTACATTTAATTTGTTCTTATATTAATTACAACATGTTATTTTAATGTAAACCAAATTAAACGAGATCAAAAATGCATAAGTTTTTATAAACGTTGTTTAATTAGGTGGTTAGGAGTAACTTTCTTTAAAACAATTAAGTTTAAAAAACAATTTATTAGATGAATGTGCTCATAAAATTTATCTAACAATTTATTACAAGGTTTTGCTCAAAATAGTGCATTAAAAACAAAATATGCGTTGCGATTGTGATAGTGATTATTGGGATAAAGGCTGTGGACTGTACGCGACGTGTGCTTGCATCGGATAGATGTGCACACCCCACCAAAACGTGGCAAGGCGTCGGGTAAGTGTGTTCCCGGCTTCAGAAGGCTCTTGGGCAAAAGTATCCTTGAACATTCATTAATTAATGAAATCCACTTAATTCCTCTATATTATAGGTTCATATCTCAACCAAGCATATGTATTTGGTTATTTGTAGTAATCGTAAAAATTACATTTCAAAAATGATTACCAGTCCAAATTGGTCCACATTACGTTACAAAAATTAACATTTCCTAGAATAATTTTTAAGATCCATGATAGATAGCTTCAGAAGGGTCATGGATAAAACCATCCTTAAACTTACATAAATTAATGGAATACGCTTAATTCCCCTACATTCTACGTTCACATCTGAACCAAAATATATGTATCGTTCCAATTTGGTTATGTATAGGTCGGTCTCAAACGTGGTTCTTTAATTCCACAGATCCTGATAAATTTATATTTGTGCTATTTAGGCACACTTTAAAGCTATAGCTATAGCGTAATTACGCAACCTACTTCCGGATAAATTCCGCATATTTCACAATCTCAAAAGAGAACAACTGATAAAAGAAAATACGAGAAAAATATGTCACTGAAACAGATGTTTGTACAAAATTTAAGCTTTAACCATACGAAAGTGAAAATCATATATTGTAAAAATTATTTTTATTGTTAGAATTTTAAATATAATTGCATAATATATATAATAATAATATGAGGAGAATCAGCCATTTCGATATGAACAAATGATTGCCGCTAAGTGTTAAGAAGTCCATGTAGTACCAAAACAGAAGATAACCCTGTGGAGACAAGGTAGTGCCACATCTCGGACCGTAGTTGAGTAGTGCGTAAGGGCGACCATCGCAGACCAACGGACCACCGGAATCGCCGTCGCAGATCGTCTCGTGTTTTTTAACTGAGTAAACGCAGATTTCCCCGTACATCGTCAAGTCATCTTTTCGTGAAAACAACAGAGAGCAAGATTCATTATCCGAAGGCCTTACTTGGATTACTTTCAAAATGAGAGATGGTTCAGCAGGAATCGTTTCTTTTCCCATACTGTCGGGATGATATGTCGTCGTCCCCCAGCCCATGGCATAGCAAATCGTCCTCTTAGCAACGATTTCGTCCCAGCTATTTTTGAATATCGTGGCATTCCAAGAAACTAGATTCATAACTTGCAAATTTTTCCCAGATTTGAATGGATAATCCAGTACCGCCATGCCGATGTCGTGACTGTCGATTTTTCCGCCGAATCGTGTTCCAGCCTTATATTCACCAGTCACTAAGATGCTATTTATTGCCCTTACGTCTATTCCTTCATTGAACTTCTCTAAATCGACAGATCCTCCTACGACATATAATTCGTTCACATCTATAGACCTGCCTTCCATGTTTAAGAAAAGCGCCAAGCAATGGGCTGCGGTCACTACTTTGGACAAGGTGACTAAAGAGCCAGCGCAGCTACTTTTCCCACGGATAGATACGACGAACGGAAACTCCCCATCTTTCGCATATCTTCCGCCAAATAGTTTCTCACTCTCAGAAGCATATACCACGATAAAAACTGAAATTAACAAATAAAACAGCATGTTAAAAATTTTTTCGCTCTTTGTTCTACAAATCACATGTTCCATTTGTTATGAAAAATAAAACAAAGCTAATTACAAAACATACCAATTTATAGAATTATTGTTTTAATAAATTGTTCTCATATGAGGAAGACTTATTAAGAGAGCACAAAATATGTAGTTTAATTTTGACTCTTTATGCATTTGATAAGTATACAATAAATTATGTTTATCAATATGTAATATTATATGATATTATAATTATAAAAAATACACATTTTCTAATGAAAGATTAAAATTATAGTTCAGTAGAATTATTTTTTATTTATTGCATGAGCTTCAGATCTCACACAAGTAATTAAGTTCACTAATTTCGTGGTCCGCTTGACTAATTAATATATTACAATTAATTAAGGTTTTTAGTTGAGGTAAAAAAGTCAATGGCACGAGCGGGATTCGAACCCACGATCTTCGGCTAGATACGCCGCTGNACCCACGACCTTCGGCTAAATACGCCGCTAATCTACCACTTGAGCTATCGTTACTTCAATCTTCTCGGACACCAACTCTCCATCTTAACCTACAACCGTTAGAATTTTCCCTCTTTTTGCCATTTTCAAATGTCGTGAAATCAGGATTGAATTCTCAGCGACTTATGAAGTGGCGGGGAGGTGTTTACTGAAGTGATACTTCTTTTACTTGTTAAATATTAATCCATTTACGTTTTAGTGGTCAATGGACCAAGTTACTACTTTCAATTAATTATTCATTCTATGTAAGGTCTTGGTTGAGATAAAAAAGTGTCACGAGCGGGACTCGAACCCACGACCTTCGTCTAAATACGCCACTACTCTACCACTTGAGCTATCGTGACTTCGATCTTCTCGGACACCAACTCTCCATCTCAACCTACAACCGTTCCAATTTTCCCTCTTTTTGCCATTTTCAAATGTCGTGTAATCAGAATTGGATTCTCAGCGACTTATGAAGTGACCACGGGGAGCTGTGTAGTGAAGTGATACTTCTTTTACTTGTTAAATATTAATCCATTTACGTTTTAACGGTCAATTGACCAAGTTACTTCTTTCAATTAATTATTCTTTCTATGTAAGGTTGAGATTCGAATTTTTGTACAAATTCAATGCGTAGTACAAGTGCTTTGGCGAAAGTATTAACACAGTCCATTGCTTCAAAATTGATTGTCAAGGATTAATCCGGCTTCCTTCAAATTAAAGTTCGTAACAGTAGGTAAGAGGAGAGGAAATAAAACGTATCGTGGTGTGACGCATACAAATCTTGACTGGATGAAGATCTCAAGTGATCATGACGATGTTTCTAGATAAACCTCTTTCCCTGGGTGATTAAGGCATGGAAATAGTTTCGAAGAGTAAAAGTTATGTAGATAAAAGTGAGATAAAAGGATGGTTTTTCTATTGGTGGGACGAAAATTTCCCAGTAAATCTTATCTTCTGGTTTATTTTCCACTTGACAAGTTATATTTAGTGCCATACTATTACTTCAAAATAGTAGCTTTTCCGCGTTGATCATGCTGAAATGATATGCCATCACTCTCCCGTCTCGGCATATCGAATCGTCTCCTTGGCGACTATTTCGTCCCACTTATTTTTTAATATTGTGACATTCCAAGAAATTTGATTTAGATTCATTCATTCATAGTCATTGACAAACAAAATTACAACAAACTTTTGAATACATTGAAAAAAGACATAAAACAATTTAAACGACAATCATACGAAACACATTTAAAAAGCTTGTCAAAAGAGGATGGGAACCTCTGGCGTAGTACTAATCGTATCCTGCGTCATAGCGTTGTCTCAACTCCTCTCAGGTATGATGATGGAACTTGGATCGTTTCCGATAAAGAAAAGTCCAAATATTCAAACCTCATAACATAATGAATACTGAACACGATAAATTTATATCAGATTCACTTGTGACACTTATGCCCCTAGATCTGCCACATAAACCAATAACTCCAAAACAAGTATCACAAGAAATACGACAGCTTCCTACAAAAAAATCACCTGGTCATGATTTGATAACAGCTGAAGTTCTTCAAGAACTTCCCAAAAAAGCAATCGTCTTTTTGACTTCTTTATTTAACGGAATTTTGAGGACTACACACTTCCCCATACAATAGAAACTTTCTTACATTAAAATGATCCCAAAGCCCCATAAAAATTTAAGCTCCCCATCGTCTTATCGTCCAATTAGTTTGTTACCCGTTCCTTTTAAATTATTCGAAAAATTAATTTACAAAAAAATTATCTCTATTGCTACTTCGAACAACATCTTACCAGACCATCAATTTGGCTTTCGACCCATCATTCCACCACTCATCAACTTCACAGTGATTGATTTCATTACTTCGTGTCTCGAGCAGAAATTGTACGCGACTGGAGTGTTTCTAGATGTTAACAGGACTTCGACAAAGTATGGCTTTAGTGACTGGGAGTTTTGTGGCCCTGAAAAGGGCCGGTGTTGTGTAGAGTCGGCGTGCCGATGAATCGAGGCCGTGACCGTGTGCGTGGCCCCGTTGGTTGGTGGTCTGTGACCATGAGTCTACCGTTGGCTGAGGTCCAGGGGCCGTGAGTCGGCTGACTCCACAGAGGCCGAAAGTTTTGGGATGCAGCGATTAGCCGAGAGCAGCGTTTGGAGTTTATATCCAAGTCGGCTGTTAGAAGGCGAGATCAGGCTGATGCAGCGAGTACTTGCTGTCGTCGACGGTGTTCCTTTGACGAGTCTCTTGTCGTTGTTGCCGATGTTGGTTACATTAGTGATGTATGAGATCTCGTCGTGTCGACGAGTCTGGTCCAGAGAGGCAGAGCCCTTGCTTATATAGGAAAGAGCTCTACTCCTTCCTATTGGCTCCAGAGTGAAGGGCGAGAATATTCCATAAGTCGTAGTGGCATCTAGCGGTAATGTGTGGTAGCTACAAGCGGCCACTACAATGGCATTAGAGATTATTATACAAATTAAAATTATTTTTGCCCCAGACCTATTATCTGATTATACAATCATGCCTTAAAGAGAGATTTTTCGCAGTAAACCAGGATACGGAGACTTCTGGGATGGAAGAAGTGTTTGCAGGTGTGCCACAAGGGTCAATACTCGCTCCGCTGTTGTACACATTTTTACTTCTGATATGCCCACAAATGAGAATACACTCACCGCCACATACGCAGATGACACCGCCATATTAACAAGCCATCTCTCTTTTACACAAGCTTCACTCATGTTACAAAACCACATATCAGCAATTTAAAAATGGAGCAATCTTTGGAAAATAAAATTTAATCCCTCAAAGTCACAACATATNAGACAACTCAAGGCAGGAAAGATGGGACAGAACCACCAAGGGAAGGCTAACCCACGAGTTTCTACCCAGTATTGAGGACCGAGCAAAAGCAAAGTGGTTTCAACCAGATTACTGGATCACACAAATAATGGCAGGTCACGGAAATTTCAACGCTTACTTGCACCGATTCCGCAGAGCTAACAGTCCACTGTGTCCCGAATGCGGAGTTGATGTTAGTGTCCAACACAGACTGTTCAACTGCCCTCTCCTTGAGAGTGTGAGGGAACCACTAAAGCTCCTCTTCCGCCACACTTGGACCCTCAACGAACTGATTAAAGAAAAGAGGACGTTTGAGGTCCTCAAGCCTGCTAGCCGAGCTATAGTGGACAAAGTACCTGATTAGTTTTTCTTTCTTTCTTTTTTCTTCTTTTTCTTCCTATGATGTTACTTGTTAATCTTAGCGTTTCCCTGAACTTTTAATTCCGGGCTGGTTACTCCTTGTACCCATAATTGTTATTTATTTATTAAAATATTGTATTTATTAGAAAGTGTGTTCAAAAGGATTAACCAGCAAGGGGGAGACCTATTAGATTAGATAAATTAATAATTTTAAACAAAATTTCCCTTCTTCCTTGGGTCTTCCCTTTCAGGGCAAGGTCGAAGGAAGACGTTAAGCACAATAAGATCCCCTAAACATGCATCACATTTGAATTAGTTTAGTGGCCGTGGGGGTCTCCCTTAGGTACGGCGGGGAGGTGGATGGGGGGAAAAAATACACATACCTACTCAAACCTATTTGGACGTACGGTTGCCAAGTATATGGATCGGCGAAGTATTCCGATATTCAAAGGTTACAAAGTTTTCAATCCAAAATTTTAAGACTAATTGTTTCTGCCCCTTTTTATGTAAATAATAATACACTTCACAAAGATCTTCAAATCCCAACAGTTTTTTCATCCATCAAAACATATTACAGACGTTTTCATAGTAAATTACAAAATCACACCAACACTCAAATACTCCATTCCCCACAATTACTACGTAAACGTCTGAAAATAATATGGATAAGAGACCTCTTAAATGATTAATATCATTTCATTAATCCAGAGCGGCTGCCAATGGGTAGATTTCTCTATAACGCCCATAATGCCAAACACATAATCTGAAATCCAATCTGTTGGTTGTATATAATACATGTACAGTTGTAGATATAAATAAATGAAGTAAAAAAAAAAATTAAATGTTTTTCCCGAACAGAATGGATAATTCAGTATCGTGAAAGTCGTGAACCGTGATTTATCACTGGATAGCAATCTACTCTCTATTTCTGTTTTGTCATATCCATACTGACGGATCCACCTATGACATTAATTCGTTGGACGTCAATTGACTTGTTTTGCTCAAAAAACGTCAAGCAACCTGTCACTACATTTTCCAAACACACTAAAGAGCCATTCTCCATCTTTCGCGTTTCTCCCACCAAACACCTTTCCTCCAAGACTAGCATTTGCCTCGCTAAAAACAGAAATGAACAAATAAAACAACACGTTAACATTTTTTAAATTATTCAGTCACCTTTTCTTATCCAAAACAATCGAACACATGACATTTATAAAATTAATCTTACATTAGAGGAAATGAAAAAGACGATATTTACTAAAATGTTATGTATATTTACTTAGAACGGGTAAAAAGAACAGTAAGAGATGGCATTTCGGATTTGTCGAAGTAGAAGCTTCAGTGAGGCCTAAGAAGTCCAGGTAGTACCAGAAAAGAACATAACCTTGTGAAGAAGAGCTATCTCCACATTTCGGACCATGAGTGAGTATGGCATAAGAGTGACCATTGCAAACTAACGGGCCTCCGGAATCCCCATCACAGATGGTCTCGTTTTCTCGGATTGATTTAACGCAGATTTCCCCGTACATGGTCATATCATCTTCAGGTTTATATTCCGCTTGACAAGTCTTATTTGGCAACGGACTTACTTCGATCACTTTCAATATAGAAGATGACATAGATGGCATTTCGATATCATTATCAATGATGATAAAAGCCGTCGTTCCCCAACCCATGGCGTAGCATACCGTCCTCATAGCCACGATTTCATCCCATTTTTGTTTAAATACCGCTTTCTTCCTCGAAACAATTTTCATAGGCTGCAACATTCGACCAGCGTAAAATGGATAATCCAGAAACACCAGACCGACATCGTGGGAGTCGAGTCGCCCGTTCCATCTTGAACCATATTTGTATTCATTGGGCACTGAGATCATTTCGATTCCCCTATTGTCGAATTCATCACTGCCCTTCTCTTCGTCAATAGATCCGGCTGTGACCCATGCGTTCATTAAATTTACATCCTTGACTTGGTCGTCAGCTTTATATTTGAAGCAATGGGCTGCGGTTACTACTTTGGACAATGTCACCAAAGAACCTGCGCAATCTGTTTCGGTATGTACCGATACAACAAAAGGGAACTCTCCTTCTTTTGCATATCTTCCTCCAAATATTTTTCCACCCTGATAAGCAAGTACAACTCTAAATAGAAAAACAAAAAAATATAACAGCATATTAATTTTTTTATAACTTTTTACGTTTTTTCAGATGTTTGTAACAGATGTTCCTGTCTTCAGGAAAAAAATTCCATGTTTATATCTGTTAAGTTACGTACTGTTACAGCTTCCTTACTGCGGCCGCAGGTACGTTGACGGTAGCTCAGTGGAGAATGGGAGGACGTGTGGAAAATAGAGGCAAATTTATTTACAAATATGAAGTTTTGTTGAGCACCACGGTATTTTTGGGAAAGGTTAAATACCGAAATCAGGGAAAAAATTGGAAACGAATTGACGTAAAGAAAGGAAAGGAGAGAGTAATGAGAAAGTCCGATTTTTAAATTTTTATTTCGTGAATTTACATATATAACCGACCAGTTCCGTTATTCTCTACTTTTCACTTGGGAGCCAGGGGCTTCATACATCTTCCACACCGGAGTATCTTGCGGTACCTTTGCTCCGACATATAAGTTATAGTTTCGATTGGAGAAACTGAGTTTAAAAAAAAATGTTTTTTGCTAAACTTACAAACCAGTACTAAAACAAGTTGTTTTCAAATGTCTTGTAATCTATTTGATTCTCGGCGACAAATGAAATGGCCACGGTGAGCTTTAGTGAAGTATACTTCATTTTAACTTATTAAATTCACTAGTTTTCGTGGACCGTTTGACCAATTAATATCTTTCAATTAATTAAGGTTTTTAGTTGAGATAAAAATATCAGAATCAAGTAGATTACACGACATTTGAAAAATGGCAAAAAGGAGGGAAAATTCAAAAGGTGGGGTTTGAGATGGGAAGTTAGCCCCCGAGTGGATCGAAGTCACGATAGCTCAAGTGGTAGAGTTCGGCGTATCTAGCCGAAGGTCGTGGGTTCGAATCCCGCTCGTGACACTGACTTTTTTATCTCAACTACAAACCTTAATTAATTGAAAGTAATATATAACTTTGATAAATAAAGGTACAATGAAAGGTTTATTTCCCCAAAAGAGCGGAAAATTTATTATGTAGAGCGGTACCTTGCATTCTACATGGGCCCAAGTCACGTTGTGGGTCCATTATGTGAGTTATATACATGAAACTACGTTTGTTTTTTAAATTCATTGTTATTAACATTGTTTTACGTTAAAAGTCAAGCTTTTTATTGGGTTTTATAGTGGGAAGATTTGGTAAGATTCTTAACTCGCACATTAGCAATTTTTGGTACGTTTTATACAGTCAAAATTTACAAATAATTGTTTAGTTATATACACGGCCAACGGCGTAAAAGTGCGCTGAAAGAGCCAAGTGGTGAGGATGAGGGGAAGACGTCACTTTTACTTTATCTAGCCTTCTCACGCTATAATTCTAGCTATTTCAGAGAAGGCGGTGGTGTTGATATAGTGGCTAGCGTGCTTTGGTGTTCAGTGGACTCACGCACTTTCTTCCTGCTCCCTGCCTACACCTTGTTCACAACAATGCCATTTTTATTAATCAAACATTCCCATGAGCTATTTTTTAGGTATGGATAAATTGCATCGGATTTCTTTAAACAACAATGATTTTGGCCACTTATTGGGCCCGTCTTAACTTGCGCGTTTCTGAACTTCGATTAACAAACCCGCGAGTGAAGACGGACCCAATAAGTGAACCAATGCCGGTTAAAAAGGACTTTGCGATGACACCCAGTATCAACTATACTGATAAGTTAACTGACTTTCTTTACAACCTAATAGAAAATCTTTCACCACTAGGCTAAAAAATCTAATTTTTTTCAAGTCTTATTTTGTATATGTTCTTTCGTTCTGAACGATACATCTTTCAACAGACGCATTTTCGTGCACGTTAACGATTTTTGATATTTCGTGACATCACGACACTGATTCGGAAACACAATCAAAGGGCAAATACATGCGCAGTAATATCGGGTCAAATAATAAAAATTGATTTTATTATCTATATTCCGATCAAGTAAATAAATCGGTTCTGCAGATTGTTAACGGCGACCAGAACTCGCGGAACGAGGACCGGAACGACAAAAAATCACATACGGCAGGTAATGATTACAGTAATTATTAAAGTTCTTCAGAAGAAATAATTAAGCGTCCTCCATATAAAGAAAAATGATACGACAACAAAAATAAAAATAAAGGTAAAACGAAATTTTAGCAGCGTTTTTCAGTACTAAAATCGTGAATATTTAATATGATATTCATAATAAATAATGATAATCATAATAATAATAGAAAGTTTTATCGACAAACATTAATTACCATTAAACAAGAAGCAATATTTTCCTTTACATCAAGCAACAATGACTAACAGCCGTTTTACAAAATAATGGAAATTTAAATAATGTGTATATAGGGTGTTGGGCTCCTCGTGTTACGAATTTTGCCAGTAGATTCTACTTTCATAATAAAACCAAAAAGTCCTAATTAACTATAGTCCGAATGTCAACGGGTTTGGAGTTATTTCACTTTTTCTGATTTTTTTAGATTTCACGACCTCGCTTAAATAAACAATGATAACTCCAAAACTAAAAGGTTTTGGGCAAATCCGTCGATGCCATTGAAAACTACGTTAAATTTCGGATAAGATGTGATCAAGAATAAACTTGTAGACGCTGACGAAATAAGGGTTTAGTAGCCAGAACATTGAAAAAAAAAATTTTCAAAGTTGAAAACTACTACTTCCAAACGTAGAGACCATCAATTTTCAGCAAACGTTCTCCATTTTATATCATTTTTAGTGGTGTAATTGCTTTTTTTAAATACTTTATTTAAAGTTGAAGAATTCCTGAAGGAAAGAAAAAAACCGTGGTGGACGGATTGGTAAGATGGAAAGATTAACAACAATAAAAAATGAACTAAAAACTTTTGAATTTTAAAACCCTTTTATTCCGGGGAATAATAATACAATAATCCTTTAATCAAAGTTGCAGATGTGTTGGTAAACAAGTAAACACTTGCACTATTTCGGTTGTGAGCCAAAATTAAAAAAAGAAGTTTAATAAATTCATTGAAAATCTGGGTTTTTTTTTTTTTTTTTTTTTTTTAATTTTCGACCTTAACAAACATCCTGCCATGGTTTTTTCGTTTCGTCCATCAATTTTTTCATCTTTGAAAAATTAATTNCTTTTCTTTTTTTTTTTTTGTTAATTTTCGACCTTAACAAACATCTTGCCACGGTTTTTTCATTTACTCCATCAATTTTTTCATCTTAGAAAAAATTAATTAAAAAATAAATTACACCACTAAAAGGGTGAGTAAACATTTGCACTATTTCGGTTTCGAACCCAAATTAAAAAACGTTTAATAAATTCGTTCAAAATTTCATTGTTTTTATTATTTTTTTAATTTTTCCACCTTAACAATCCCTTAAACACGGTTTTTTCCTTCCCTTCATCAATTTCTGCATCTTTAAAAAAAAATTTAAAAGATCAATTACACCCCTAAAAATAATATTAAATGGGGTACGTTTTCTGAAATTGTCTGGCTCTCGGTTTGGAAATAGTAGTTTAGGGTCACCACAGTAAGTTTTTCAAATTTGAAAAAAAAATTTGCTCTAGCTACTAAAACTAGTAACATGAGTGTGTATGTATGTGATATGTGTTCTAGGAATATTGCGTGTGTTGGATACGTAAATAAATATAATAACAAAATACTAATAAACATATGGATCGTCTAGCAACAAAGTTATATGACAGAAAAGTGATAAAAAATGTAGAAAAGAATAAATTGTTTCTCGATTATAGATAAAATAACGCGAGAAGGACAAAAAATATGCGAGGAGCCGGCAATGACAAGTTGTTAACCGGCAAAAAATCATAATAAACAATTTAGAATGGATAGAAACAAATGTATTAACACTATACAATTATCAATTATTAATTATAATAAAATTCAATATTAATTCTAATAAATCCAATAGATTTTGTGTTCCGATTGACCAAATAACTTCTTTCAATTAATTAATCTTTATGTAAAGTATTGAAAAATGGCAAAAAGGAGGGAAAATTCGAAAGGTGGGGTTGAGATTGTCCTAGTGGATCGAAATCACGATAGCTCAAGTGGTAGAGCAGTGGCGTATTTAGCCGAAGGTCGTGGGTTCGAATCCCGCTCGTGACACTGGCTTTTTTATTTCATCCAATAACTTACATAAAGATTAATTAATTGGATTAATTATATTATTTAAAAATCGTGAAATGCGGTCTGGTGTGATGTGGGGTTAGAAAATAATTTTCTTTATCGTCTTTAAACATCACACGTTAATTATATTAATGATACAATATTTAATTTTCGAATAATAAAATTTGCTTAAACTGATATTTAATGTATCTATATTTTTGAACGAGTTTAACAAATTTGATGTTCATGTTATAAAACTGAATTTGACATAATTAGTTCTATAGCAATCAGTGGAGAATGTCATTTGACTCCTGGAACAATAAGATGGAAGACGAAAGATAATTCGGTTAAGCAGTAATGGGCAATCAGTTAAAGAAGGAAATAATTTATACAATACAATCGAAAAAATTCTTTCTGCACAGAACAGTCGTCAATTTCGGATCAGGGTGAATTGAAAGGAAGCCCAAAGCGGTGAACAGTAATCATAACATTGGACTTAAAGTCCAAGTTTATAAAATTTTAAGTGTATCTGGATCATGGAAATGTTTAGTATGACGTGTAATAAATCCTAAAGTTTTATGTGCTTTAGCAATAGTTTTGTTAATAGTTATTCAGATATCGTGAGATGCGGTCGGGTGTGATGTAGGTTTCAGAAAAACATTTTCTTTATCGTGCCAACGTTTCGATCTTTATTGAGATCATCTTCAGAGTTTGGGATTTACAAACAAGGTTTACATTTAATAATTACCTTTGGGATGTGGAAAAGTGAATTTATACAATGAAAAATATATTTTGTATTCAAACAAAGTATTTCTACTCACTCAAAGTGTTTGTCTTCTGTGTAATTGTGCCATCCTTGCGTGTCGTGTTGAGAGTGCCAGTGAGATTTTGCTGTTTTATGTTTATATATGTTTGGTTTTGAAGGGGTGTGGAAGGAAGTCGGTATGTAAAAGACAATTTTATGTAAGGCGTCGTCTTCTTTGAAGTGAAAAAAACCGACAAAGGGGAACAATGTGTTGGTAATAGTTCGGCCAGATAATCCTTTACTTGTCAATATTGGTGCGAAGATCTTTAACAATTTCACGTCTAATTAGGCCTGATATAGCATAGTTAAATTTGGATATTTGTTTTATGATAAGTCATAACTAAAACATTTGTCAGAATTTAAAAGAATATTATTAGTTGAACACCAATTATTACGTTTTACTAAGGCATGTTGAAGTTGTAAGCAGAAATAATTTTTAGGAATATTTTACATCATGTGCAAAAAGTAAGGTCATAACGAATTGAAGAGAATCAGAGATAGAATTTATAATATATAATAATATTTAATATAGAATTTAAACAGTAAAGGTCCTAAGTGCGACCCTTGAGAAACTCCAGAATTTGCTAGAAAACTATGCGACAATGGCGATTTTAATTTTACTTTATGCATTCGACCTTTCAAATAGGAAAAGTCATTGTAAATACAATCAACTTGCAATCATTCGGAAAAAGATTGTACAATCTAATCTTGAAATTTAAGTAAGTCTGTTAATGTAGATCTTTGCGAATAAAAACCATGTTGATATGGAATAATAACGTTTTTAAATATTGTGTTTAAGGAATTTAGTATTATACTTTCAAAGCCTTTCCCTACAGCAGGTTGTACACAAATTTTTCTTTAATTCCAAATATATTATTTTTATTACCACTTTTAAGTACATAAGGAAAAATTCAAGTAAATAGGGATTTATTAAAAAGGAAAACTAAAATGGGAGCAATAGCAAAGTTTGCAATTTTTTTGTGTTTTATTATTTATACTATACAATTACTTAAGGTTTTTAGTTGAGATGAAAAAAAGCTAATGGCACGAGAGGGATTCGAACCCATGACCTTCGGCTCCGTTTCTTTAAATTTAGATGTTTCAGGCAGTAATATTTTATACAAGTTATTTTGTATTGTGAATCCGATAGTTTAAGTTCTGTTCAACAATACGGGCGTTATTATTATTATTCGTCCGCCGCACTACAATCAGCGTGTTCTTTTTGATACACAACGACCGCATGCCTGACATCTTCCCGCACCGCAGCATAAACGGACCCGACTTCCTCAGTCTTTCCCGCACAACCGCAACGCCACATCGCATCTATACATCAAGAGTAATAATAATAATACTTTATTGCAAAAAAGAAAAGTTATAAATATTACATAATATATCATTTAAAGTAAAATTACGGCATGGTCCGTCTGCCGGAGGTCGATTTCCATTTGACTTAAATTTTTGGTCGACACAGAGAAAAAAGTACAAAATAAAAAAATTAAAAAAAATTGATCCTTAAATAAATATTACAATTGATAATTTAATTTTTAATAATTACATTAGATACTAACTTACATTATAAACAATAATTTTTGTTCTTTGTTTATTTTACAAGTATAGATATATAATTATTTGGGCCAGCAATTTAGAATGGCAAGGCTTTAAAATATGCAAAAATTAAATTCTAATATTAACTCTTGGCGATAGTGCCAGGCGTGGCGCGCATATTTGATTAAATTTTTGTAATCATTAAGCAGTAAATCGATAACCTGTGTCACATTCAATTTAGCAAAATTTAGATGCAGAAGCCGAATCTCTGATAGGATAGTGCATTTTGCAATAAAATGCACTATGTCTTCTTTAACCTGGTCATTGCATAATGAACAAATTAAATTTTCTCTAGCCCGAAAAGGTGAACCATTGAGATAAAGGAGGATTTTGAATAACCACCTTAACTCGACCAATGACAAACCTTTAGACCTGTCCTTAGATAGGTTAAACATATTAAAGTCATATTGGTAAAGTTACTTATAGAATAAAAAGCGCGATGTTGATCTGACTTGTTCACGAAGTTCTTCACTGAAATTGACACTCAGTTTTGTTATAATTTCCTTGAAACTGCAAAGGCCACTCATTCAAGTTATTTATAGAAAATGATGAGTCACATGATAGATCCCAACACATGCTATTCTATGCTATACATCAAGAGTACTCACAAGTGAACTTTTAGTTTAATTTAAAAAATTTTTTGCATCTTCATTCTAACTTAGTTTTTTCTTTCTTTTCTTAATTCATTGAAGAGCTCTTCCGTTGTTTCTTTGTTTAATTAATTTTTTAATTTAAAACTAATACTATAATTTTATTTGATATTATTACTATTATTAAAAAACTATTATTAAGAAACTAACTTTGTTTACTTTTGCCGTAACTTATCTGTCTTTTTTTTATAATATGTTTGTTATTTATATTAGATAACATTTTATTTTACATGTTATTGCCTATTGACGCTATCTTAAGGATTTTTAATATACAGAAGCTCTAGATCCAATCCGTTGAGTGATTTGAGTGGCAAAGCGTCGTAAAATAGATCTGGCAACACATTTGGGAAAAAGATTACCTCCCACAAACGGACGAGGTCGCTGAATACCCAACAATTTATTTTGAATATTAATTCCCATTCAGAGTCCCAACCACTTCCTGATTTTATCATATCCACTGTAATTAAGTAGGTAAAAAGATTGTTTAACAAAGGTGATTTTGCAATAAATAAAATGTGTATTTGAGTACAAAAATAAGGGTTCTGTACCATTTGCAAGGTAGAAGGCATATTTTTAGTATTACTTGGCTGAACATTTGCCATGATTATTAATCTTTTACCTACCGGCCGGTTTAATAAAAGTTTTACGGCAGTATTTTGTTTTTCTTCCAAAGAAATAATTGAATTCGTAAAATATTGCAGTCTACAAGAAAAACATCGATTTCTTCCTGAAAGCTTTAGGAAAATAGACGAAGAAAAGGAATTATCCGGAAAAAAACATAATTTAACAAGACATTAAAAATTTCTGTGTATATGGTGTGTGAATTGTGTGGGTTTGGATAAAGTATTAAATTCTAAAAAATTATCGTGAACCCTTTACTTGTTTCTTTTTTATTTTACGATGAAAAGTTTTTAAGATTATATGTAACAGTTTTTCAATTTTGAATTGTTTTGATGAGTATTCTTTATAACAATAGATATCCTGGTATGTCTAGTCGTTTAGTTTTGTAATTTAATTACGCATAAACGCGTTTCTTCGGTAAAATCAGGTTAAGGAGTTCGAGAGTGGAAAGTTTGGAGGTATTTACGCATGTTGAAAATGAACCTAATTTTTTCCTTCTTTTTGGTCCAGAATGATTTGGAAAATTACGAGGTTGTCGATTGCTACGGTTTTTATCCTGTACCTTAGCAAGAACGTCCTGAATGGTGTCCTCAAGGATTACATTTACTACGACCTCGAAACAAACTATCTTCACTGGAGTTCTAAACTTCCTGCCATTTCTGTCTGCCTGCGTTTCAACCATAACAGGTAATCAGATAAATTATTTTAATAAATGGGTTCGCACTATTGATAAAATATTATGTTTAGAAATTCTTTCGACAACGATAGCAGAAATTTCTTGAGGAATCTTTTAAATCCGTCGAAATTGCATTGTCGAAATTGTGATAGAGGAAGAAAATTGATACAAGAGATGAACACGAGTGTTCCTAATCTTGTCGAACAGGTAAGGAAAGTTAACTGATAAATGATATCATTAAGTCTCTCAAATACTCCTGTGAGATATAAACTTACTACTTTAAATATTCAATAAGCACATTTAAAAGAAAAATATGTCTCATTCTCTCCTTTCTCTCTCTCTCTCTCTCTCTCTCTCTCACTCTCTCTCACACACACTCTCTCTCTCTCTCGTTTTCTTTGTTTCTTTCATTTCTTTCACACTCCTTTCTTTCTCTCTCTTACTGCCTCAGCACCACACGCAAAAACTTCCACCCATTTATTTTTTTTTTCTTTTTTTGGTTAAAGTTAATTTTTTTCTTTATTTTTTTTCTTTTTTTTTTTTAGTAAATATCTGTTTATGCTATGTTTTAAATTAGGAATATCAATTAGAAGTAAACACACTTAAATGGTAATCCAAAATTAGGATAAAGGATTTTTCAAAGTTTACTTTTTGCGGAATTTGAAATGTTTATTCAGTCTAATTTGAATTCTGAAACAATAAACTGTTTAGTCTTCATCTTTGTTTTCTTAATTTCAATTTTTAAACTTAAAAATGCCACTTAGTGCTGAGGATGTTACGTGTGGTGTGGCACTTATTGATGATGGGCGTTCCATCAGGTATGCGGCTATTGACATCGAAGTTCCATACGATACTACTAATAAGGATCATCATCAGGATAATCATCCCTAACCGTCCTACCATAGAAGACCCGGTTCTGGATGCCCTAGGGTAACAGAACCACAGGATGACTATTCTTTGACTTTGAGAATTTTACGAAACCGGCATCTTACTGTTGTCCAAGCGATTTATCAGCTCCAAAAAGTTCGAGGTGTCCAAATTTTTGAACTCTCTGCTCGAAGAAGATTAAATCAGTATGGACTGATGACTTTTTGCCCCGTAAAAGGACCAGAATTAACCAGAACACACAGATCTGCACGGTTCATGACGAAATGAAAGGTAAGAAGCCTGTAATTTTCCCCAGAGCCAACCTTTTCAACGTAGCTCAGTGATGATGTAAGCGGGAATTTCAATGGAGAGTCGCACAGAGTTGGTTGTTTGTGGAGGGCCTTTGAGGGCCACTCTCCTTTTGGATGAAACTTTGGCACATCATGCGTTGCCTGTCCTCGATGAAATCAGCGACAATCCTATTCTAATTGACGATAATACCCATCCACATGTCTCTTGCATAGGATAAACGTACCTTCAACATCAGGGTCTTAAGGTGGCCATTCACGATCACTCCTAGCAGTTCAAACGGAGCGACGCCGTTCCAAAAACCACGTCAATGGCAAAACTGAACTGGCGTGCCCGGCTCTGCCGAATATTCGACCGGTCCAAACTCCATCGCGCCACTCCAAATATCTACGGCGCGACGACGCCATGGCGCGTTCGTGAATGGGAAAACCTGGCGTGGAGGGTGGGATTTTGGCGCGCTGGCCTGGTCGTGAATGGGAAAACCCTCGTTTTTTTGGCGCAGTCTCCGTCTTTCTGTCACTGAGCAAACATCTCCGTCGTACATTCTCAAAAACTCAAAAACGTTTATTCTTTATTGGAAATGACATCCAATCGAGATTTTATTGTTGAGGTGATTGAATTGTATGAAAGTTTACCATTGAATGAAAGTGGTGGACAATGAATAATTACCACGATAGAAATAAAAGAAATTAGATCCTCAACCAGTTGATATTGTATTGATTACCCCTAACAATGATCAGAAATCGTAGTAGAGAACTTAAGTTCTTTGTAGTTCATCCCTGTAGCGAGAAATCGTAATGTGGTTGCCAACCTTCATGTAGTGCTGATTTCTCTCATGCCGTCTTTTGTTTTTCTAATCAAGGGGGTAACAAGCTGAAGTAAATATAAATAAGACGTTAATCGTTGTTTGTAAGGTTTTGGTTGAAATGAAAAAATAATATCACGAGGGGATTCGAATCCACGACATTCGGTTAAATACGCCGCTGCGCCAACCACTTAGCTATCCTGTCTTCGATAGTTCGATCCACTCGGGCACCAACTCCCCATTTCAACCTACAACCTTTCGAATTTACTCTCTTTTTGCCATTTTTTGGTGTCGGAGAGGATCAAAGTCACGATAGCTCAAGTGGTAGAGCAGCGGTGTAGTTAGCCGAAGGCCATGGATTCAGATCCCGCTCGTGGCACTAGCTTTTTCATTTCAACCAAAACCTTACAAAAAAAGATTAAAAAATTGAATAGCAAGTAATTTATCAACAAAACAATTAAAAGAAGTAATTTGGTCAATAGAACACTAAATATAATTAATAAATAAGACGTTTCATCCATCCTTAAATAGTTCATCCAATCACGGTTTCAAGGGAAAGATTGATGTGGGTATTACGGCTTCTGTTCAGGAGCCACTTCTTACACCATTTCCTCTTTGATTTTTTGCTTTTAATATGTAAATAAACAGAAGAGTAGCACAAGAGATCGTCATCCATTTTGAGAAGGTAATTCACTGGTTGACGTTCGGAGCGACTGGCTGTGGAGCGGTCGTGAAAGCCCCTCAAATTTCAGGCACTCCAAATGGATCTGTACGGCTTGGCGGTTGCATTTGGAGTGATCGTGAATGGCCACCTTTAGCCTTGCCAGCCCGTTCTCTCCATCGATCATTTATGAGATAACCTCAAAAGACGAGTAAGAACACGTCCGTCACTTCCTGATACACTCCACGATCTTAAAAGTTCTCTTCGTGAAGAATGGGCTAACCTCCAACAAAGAGACATTTCCAGACATCCAGGTAGAAAGTAAACAAATTTTATCTGTTCGTCTTTTGTATTTTTCATTTTCCTTAGCAATTTACTATTTTTTTTAACTTTTTTAGACAAAGACTCAATTATTAAACGTTAAAAACGTGAGACTTTGATTAATATGTAAAAATATATTCCAATCACGTTATATTACAATTGTGTGGAATTTTTTGCCTGTTAGTGTATTTTTATAAATTTATCTCTCTCTCTATCTAACTTTCTATATATCTAGTTATCTTTATTTTTATCTATTTATTAATTTCTAGGGTGACAGTTAAAAGGATTTTTGTTAGATTGTGAGCTTTCTCTTCCTAGCGTGCGTGGGGATGAACCTGTACTTTGATCGTTTCTGGTGATCTTGGTCTTCATGCTCATTCTTTTTATGTGCTTTGTTAATCCAGATCTCTCTCTTACATGGTCTTGAGGGGTGGGTTCGTGTTTTGGGGTTGTATGAAACTACTACACGCCGTTCAAAAAGGAAGAAACATGAAAATACTCGATAATTTTTTTATTTACATTTTTTACACTTTAACCGTTTTTTAGAACGTCTTTATTACCAACCATCTTGCTTTCTATGCGAATAAAAATTTATTAAAGAAGATATTAGAGAATATTATTGTTTCGTTTTGTTTTTCATATGGAATTTATGAGAAAATGAGCATATAATGTGAAAATTTCGTTGTGTTTTATTGCAAAACTGTTGATTATCATTCTCACTTAGACTCATAACTTAAAGTGAGTAGACAGCATCCAAACGACTCTTCTTTGATGGAATTCATTAAGAGGGTCGTAAACAAATTTCGTTCTTAATTTACCCGGCAAAACGGGAGAGGCAGGCAGTTTCAGTTTGAAACGCTTCTCGTAAAGGCTTTACGCCCTGAGTCAAAAACTTAACGTATCCATTGTCATACAAGATTGATGAAGTAAGTTTCTTCTTTGCGAGGGCAGGGATGGGGAGACGGCCGTGAAAGCAATCTAAATTGAGTGTGGAATTAAGTTAATACACTACCGTGTTCAAAGTTTGACCACGTCATAAGTTTGAAGAAGCCTCCTCCACCCGCCCGACCCCCGGTCGCACACTCAACCATAGACTTAAACACCCTAAACAAACATTTGTCCATTTTACAGCTCGGTTTCTGCCCATTCTCGTCCCTCGGCTGTTTACACGTAGACTTAGCCGAACGGAGAGGGTGCCCCCTTTCCACGAGAATCACTTTTACAGTTTATGTCTCGTTTAAATCAATGATACAACTTGAAAGCGTTTGAGGAGCAAACACTTCACTTTAACACATACAAAAACAATAATTCATAGATCATTTTTTAATTACCTAGTCTTTAAAATTATTGGTTATTTTTAATCAAATATTATACACTTGTTTAAAAATATTTCGTTTTAATTTCAAGATAATAATTACACATTCTACTAACTCTTCTACTTTTTCTACTATTACTATAATAATAATAAGTTTATTGCACACAAGAAGAAAAAAGAAAAATTACATATAATTCAAACAAGAAAATAAACTTAATACGGCAAGGTATCTGCCGGGGCTTGGATTAATTATTGATTAATCCTGTAAAATAAACGTACAAATCCATTAAACTAAGTCTATGCTAAGTGTAACATATATAACAAAATACCAAATCAAAAGGACACAAAACTGAGAATTAAAAATCAATGAACGGAGCTGAGACCGGAGAAACAGAAACACCAAATATCAAGGGAATGAGCGGGGGCAAAGAAATTGGGAGTAAAAGAGAAGAAGAGAGAAGAATTACTAATTAAATTCGTTTACTATTAGCTTTCGATAGGCTCAGGCCGCTTTAGCATAATTCACNAAGATCCATCGTTAATATTCTTACTGTTCTTTTACTCGTTCGACAGATTATGGAGGTGACTCTCATTCAGCAGTCAGGAGGTAGCTTACTGCGCCGGCTCAGTTCCCCACCTCCAAAGCCGAGATAATCTCCGATAAGACGATGAGCGATAACCCAGACCTCCTGATCCAACAAATTATAGAAAAAGATTGTTTTTTCTTTCTCTACCTGTAACAAGTTCACTGCACTGAGGTCCTTTTTCTCACAGACTATAAGCGCAGATTCGACACGTTCACAAGGTTGTCCAAATATTTGAATACAACTCCTACTTTTGATCGCTTAAATGTGGCTCAATAACAGAGACGATGTGTCTCTCACCGTGTCTCAATCCAAACTATTACTATTAATACTACTAGATCAGGTATGTGGTTAGGGGGCATTTTCGATCTATTTAAGATTTTCTCCATTTTTTCCTTCTCATAGTTAGCTAGAGCTGATAGATGGATAAATAGATCGAAAGCTTGATAAGACTTCTATTGTTATTTTATTTCCGATGACCTCATTTGACATATCATGATATATCTGATCAACTAATAATAGAACTTCACTGGTCGATAACTTCTTATTTACAAACTACTAACACTAACTATACCACTGTGATTTGGGTAAGAGGTTTAGAGTGTGCAGAAGAGAAGGATCTAATTATGAGGTTTAATCTTGGATGTCGTATCATGGATTAAGCATATACAGCAAAAACGGTGATAGTACTCCTGATCAGGTTGACCAAAGAAGAGGTTCTCTCCGAATAGCTCTAAAAAGTAACCTAACTCTGCCTATCTTCTCGTAAACATGGTTTAAAAAAATTATCAGGATCTTTTACAAAACATTGATTGTCTGTTCTCTTAAGCCAGGAACACACTTACCTGATGCTACGCCATGCGTCGCTACCCGATGCTACCCGACGCAAATCCAAACTCCGATTTTCCATAAGGTTGTATTACCCCCGTGCACATTTACCCGATGCTATGCCACGCTAACCTACCCGACGCTCTGCGATCCCCACTCCAGATTTTCGTCTGGTCGCATGAGTACAGTCGAAGACAAAAGAACCGGAAACTCATATTTTAATTCAAACTACATGTATTATTGTCGATATATTAATTACAACGCACCTATTTTAATATAAACCAAATTAACTGGGATTAAAAAATAATTTCTTTTTATTTAAAAAATTAATTTTAATGGTTTGGTAGAAAATTAATCAAAACACCGGAATACGATTTTTTGATATAATGAATTTAACTAACAATTTATTGTACTCGCTTCGGCGGTACATATGCTAAAATTGGAACAATTTATTACACGGTTTTGCTCATAAAATTTAATGAACAATTTATTTCATAGTTTTGCTCGTAAAATTACACCATTTTGTAATGTCGGGTAGCATCAGAACAGGACACTCATATTTTTTGTAGTTTATTTCAAACTAAGTACATGTAATTTTGTCGTTATATTAATTACAACATGTTATTTTAATGTAAACCAAATTAAACGAGATCAAAAATGCATAAGTTTTTATAAACATTGTTTAATTATGATGGTTAGGAGTAACTTTATTTAAAACAATTAAGTTTAACAAACAATTTATTAGATGGTTGTGCTCATAAAATTTAACTAACAATTTATTACAAGGTTTTGCTCAAAATAGTGCATTAAGAACAAAAGATGCGTTGCGATTGTGATAGTGATTATTGTGATAAACGCTGTGGACTGTACGCGACGTGTGCTTGCGTCGGATAGATGTGCACACCCCACCAAAACGTGGCAAGGCGTCGGGTAGCATCGGGTAGCGTCGCATGGCGTAGCATCGGGTAAGTGTGTTTCTGGCTTTACTTTAGTTCAGTTCAATAAATTACGTCGGAATTGATAATTGTTTTATGCAATTTAAGTATTGCCACCAAAAATCCTCGAAAGCTCAAACGGACAATTGTTCCTATCTGGGAAAAATTTTACTTCTCAAACAGTTAATAGTTTTTTGTTTTTTTATTGGCCTTATGATCTTTGCATATTAGCCATGACGAATTCTTAAATATGTTGTTCAAATTGGGGGTTATCCGGAAAAAAGGGCCAGAGGCGACGGTGGGAATCGAACCCACGACCGCGGCGTGAGAGTCTCTCATGCTAACCACTCGGCTACCGCGGTCCCCTAATAGTTAAAATTCTGCTATTCAGTTACGAAGTATGGGCGAATTCCGAAAGGACAAGTATAAAGGTCATGGTGTCCAAAGAAGATGAACCTACTAGCCAGCTCTCATCGCAGCGAATCCGAACCGCTGGAATTAACCCTTATTGACTTAATGTTAGCACAAAGCAAATTTATAAAAGTAGATATTGAAAGGAGCAAAGGAAGCAGGAAGTATTGTGACACAGATCTATTTTTTCTCCTGTGTCCTGGGATTTCTCCCTCGGTTGTTGCACGAATGACCTGAAAGAAGCTGTCAGTCAGGTATTGGAAGATGAGGTAGGAGGTAGTAGGAGAAGGGAAGGATTGAGCTTCCAGAGCAAACCCTTATCCCAAACCTTACAAAGTCTTGAGCAAATAAAGAAGAAAACCTGAAGAAAAAGATATTGAGTCTACAAACAGGTGGCTATGATAGATTGTCTTACCGAAACCAAACTGGTGAGATGGGATGTTATGTTATTCTAGGATTGCAAGAATTCATTTCAGAAGGAGCTTGTCGAACATTTTTCTAGGAAAGGTAAGAGACGCTTAAGATTGGATTAAGAACTTGGTTAGGTTTAATTGAACTTCGGGGTCAACTTTATAATAGAAACCTTTTATTGTAAAGTAAAGTGAGTAGTCCTCAGGACATATTATAAAGGCATATCATTCTCTTCTGTACCCGGGATATCTCCTTTAAAGGGGTAGAGCTGTCTTATACGGAAAAAGGTCATAAATTGTGTAAATGCTCCAGGTTAAAGTGTGGCTTACAATCAGTTTTATTCCTGAGGGTCTTCATCCGGGGGAGCAATGTTGTCCGGCTGGGACGTAGATCTTGAAGGCGGTACTAGACCAACTCCTCGGGAAGACAACCTCCGGTCCCGGTTGACTAATATCGCTGTATCTGATTCTCTCACTTATGTTCTCTACTCAAACTATGGTTCTTATTCTGACTGTCATTTCCTTCATGCGCTCCATCTCAACTGGTTCAGCCAGGAGCGACCAATGTTGCGAGGGCTTCTCGAGAGCCTTTCATGAATCGGCTGCTTACTAACAATGGCTATTAGCTGGATAGACATCGGTGACAATATCTTTCACAAGGATACACATCCATATTCTGTAAGTAACTGGTAGTCTGGTCACTGCCATTCTACGAACATGACCCAGTCACTCAAGTATTCCTACTTTGCCGTGGGATAAAATGTTCTTTGTTTCTTCATTTTCAAAGAAAAACGATAAAATTTCATGCATCCTCTCTCTTTAATACTTTCTTATTTTTCAGTTGATCACTCCGTGTGAAACACTTTTGACCAATTGTATGTGGAATGATAAACGGTTCCGTTGCTGCAGCAGGTTCAGAAAGCTGGTCACAAGAAGAGGAATATGTTATTCCGCTAATTCAGAACTTATTGGGTGAGTCTTTAACTTGTCTTAACAGATTCAAACTTAATGAAATACTTTTCATTCAGAAATTGAGCTCAATTAATGACCATCGATGATTTACCATTACACAGATGGCACGACTGTATGACATCCGCGCTTAATTGTAACAAACGTGTTTCAATTTTCTATTTTCAGCTATTTTAAACCTCATTCTGGAATCTTCATGACATCGGTGACAATATCTTTCACAAGGATACACATCCATATTCTGTAAGTAACTGGTAGTCTGGTCACTGCCATTCTACGAACATGACCCAGTCACTCAAGTATTCCTACTTTGCCGTGGGATAAAATGTTCTTTGTTTCTTCATTTTCAAAGAAAAACGATAAAATTTCATGCATCCTCTCTCTTTAATACTTTCTTATTTTTCAGTTGATCACTCCGTGTGAAACACTTTTGACCAATTGTATGTGGAATGATAAACGGTTCCGTTGCTGCAGCAGGTTCAGAAAGCTGGTCACAAGAAGAGGAATATGTTATTCCGCTAATTCAGAACTTATTGGGTGAGTCTTTAACTTGTCTTAACAGATTCAAAGTTAATGAAATACTTTTCATTCAGAAATTGAGCTCAATTAATGACCGTCGATGATTTACCATTGCACAGATGGCACGACTATATGACATTCCGCGCTTAATTGTAACAAACGTGTTTCAATTTTCTATTTTCAGCTATTTTAAACCTCATTCTGGAATCTTCATAAAATGACCGCTCTTTCAGAGAGAGGGATGTTCTACCACAGGGGAGTGTTCTTGGTCCTATCCTTTATTGCATACCACCTAATTCTACCGACGAGAATACCGCAGTTTTTTTTTTCTTCTAACCCAAATCCTATTTAAACGACTTTCAAGAACTCCTTGAGCTTTATGGTTCATAAAGTGGATGACAAAACTGAAGATAGAAAAATAAACACAGTTAAATTCACTAGTTTTCGTGGTCCGCTTGATCAATATTAATATCTTTCAATTAATTAAGGTTTTTAGTTGAGATAAAATAGTTAGTGTCAGGAGCGGGATTCGAACCCACGACCTTCGGCTTGATACGCCGCTACTCTACCACTTGAGCTATCCTGACGTCGATCCACTCCATACTTGAAAAATGGCACAAAGGAGGGAAAATTCAAAAGGTGGGGTTGAGATGGGAAGTTAGTGTCCGAACGGATCGAAGTCACCAAAGCACAAGTGGTAGAGTAGCGGCGTATCTAGCCGAAGGTTCGAATCCCGCTCGTGACACTAACATTTTTATCTCAACTAAAAACCTTATTTAATTGAAAAATATACACAGTGTACATGAAAGAGCTACCGACATCCACTCAAGTCATATACTTATGGATTATACATAGACTACAGACTGACGTGGAATCCTCAGCAATACATAAAGCGGGGAGCACACCCGATGCAACGCCATTCGACCCTAGCCGACGCAAAACCGAAGTCCATTTTTCCATAAGATTGTGTTATCCCCGTGTACATCTGCCCGATGCTATGCTATGCTGACCTACTCTACGCTGCGCGATCCCCACTGTCCAGATTTTTGTCGACTAGCATTGTGTACAGTTATTCAGAAATCGTGAGATGCAGTCTGGTGTGATGTAGGTTTCAGAAAAACATTTTACATTTACAAACATTGTTTACATTTAACAAATACATGTAGGATGTGTAAAAANTCTCAACACGACACGCAAGAATGGCACAATTACACAGAAGACAAACACTTTGAGTGAGTAGAAATACTTTGATTGAAGATATAAAAAAATATATTTTGCATTGTATAAATTCACTTTTTCACATCCAAAATGTAATTGTTATATGTAAACAATGTTTGTCAATCCCAGACCCTGAGGATGATCTCAATAAAGATCGAAACGTTGGCACGATAAAGAAAATGTTTTTCTGAAACCTACATCACACCAGACCGCATCTCACGATTTCTTAATAATTATCGATTAAGGGTCACTAATCACCACACATTGTGTACAGTCGAAAACAAAAGAACCGGACACTCATATTTTTATGCAAACTACATGTATTATTATCGTTATATTAATTACAACATACTTATTTTAATACAAACCATTTAATACAAAATTAAGCGAGATCAAAAATTCATTCGTTTTTATTTTTATTTTTAATGAATTTTAATGGTTTGGTAGAAAATTGATCAAAACATCGGAATGCCATTTTTTGTAGAATGAATTTAACTAACAATTTATTACATGGTTTTGTTCATAAAATTTAACTAATAATTTATTACATGGTTTTTCTCACAAAATTACACAATTTTCATCGAGTAGCGGACACTCATATTTTTTGTAGTTTATTTAAAACTATGTCGTTATATTAATTACATGCTTATGATAATGTAAACCAAATTAAACGAGAACAAAAATTCATGAGGTTTTATTTAAAATATTTAATTATGACGGTTAGGCAGAAAATTTATCAAAACACCGAATAACTTTATTTAAACAATTAAATTTAACTAACAATTTATTACATGATTTTGCTCAAAATAATGCATTAAGAACAAAAGAGGCGTTACGATTGTGATAGTAATTTGTGATACACGCTGTGTGAGTACGTTGCGTGGGGTTGACGTCGCATAGATGTGCACACCCTACCAAAACGTGGCAAGGCGTCGGGTAGTGTAAATGTTTTCCACGCTTAAGACATAACTTGCCAGAAGACTTGTACAACTAGACTACTTTTAGGACAGAAATGTCTTTTGACCGCCAAAAAAAAAGCTAACCATATATAACAATTTACTGGACCACTCTGGACATACGATGTGAACTGTGGCGTTCCTCCAAACCATTCAAACTTAAACAAACCTTCCATCTAAAAGTCCACGGACAAATTGTCTACTTACTACTTTTTTTACTGAACAAAGACTTCGAAGTACATATATTTTGTCAACGAACTACGCTTTCTTGTTTCCAAAAATTTCGCACCACTGCTTAAGCCACTCTCTATACTTCCCTTGCCCGAAGGCCGATGGCAACGATACGTCCTCTACCCTTATTCCAACATATTGGGTGCCAAGAAGTTGGCTCGTTTCTTTTAACATAAGTCTTCCGAGTAGAAATATTTACAGCACTATTAAGCTGTGATTATGGGCGTCTTTCGCCGCATCGATTAAGGCAATCTGTACAGTAAAGGTCGCGCGTTCGAATCCAGCGGACGTGCACAAATCGGCTTTTATTCAAAAACACCCCTAAGGTTTATATAACCACGAAGTTGAACTACCCTCGTAAAAAAAAAAAAAATGAAATAAAGTTTAAAAAAATTATCAATGTATTTTGTCCATAATGAGTTTCACATTTATTTGTATATTTTGCCATGTTTGCACATAATGAAACAAATGAGAAAATGGAAACGAAGTAGATATTGTTTTAAATGCGAAGTCAAAAAAAAGAGAAACGTAGAGAGAAATGGAGAAAGGAAATAAAAGTTCTTACCTTTTCGAGAGGAGAAATAAGTTAAAGGTGCGTGCGCTATGGTCCAGACAGGTCGACCCAAGAAGGAAATCATTCCAAATCATAGCTTTCCGAATCTGTCTTCAAACAGCTACGAAGTACCGTCGAAAATTAAGGTGGAACACGACGAAAGGGCAAATTTTTTTGAGAAGAGGATTGGCCGGAGTACAGTAAAAAAGTAGAATTTTGCAGTCCTGGTCACCAGTTGCTGGGCAACTCACTAGGTTTAGGGAAAAAGGGCCGAGTAGGGCGGCCACGTAAGGCAGCTTTAATCCGTGCACAAACATGCCGTAAAAACAAGTTCAAAGTCAAATTCTGTCTACGCTAAGAAAATACTTTTTAAATCGTAAGTTATTTTTATATTCGAAGATTATTCCTACCAAAAAGCATAACGGGCACTGGCGGATTCTACAATATACGACTTTTTAATAGCCAGGATCCAAATTACCGACTTAAGAGGGAGAGTGCATACAACTGGATTTTTCGTGTTGTGATTGCCCTTATAAAATCTTTCGATTGCCTGCTGTTAGTTAGCAAATTGCAATCTCTTAGGAATCGAGTTTTACCTGGGTGGAAGTCAGCGGAAGAGGTATTGCAGGTTGGGGACCAATAAAACGGGCCCTTTTAGTCTGGTCGCTTTCTCATTTTCGAAGTAACGAACGAACACATAAATTTCCACATAAATGACTCGGCATCAATATAAGTTGGCTTCTTATAAGGAATCGTTGAGGTACGGTCAGAATTTTCCTCTTTAAATCTTGACTTGACCATTTCCTTTTGAACTTTAGACGAGGTTCTCTATTAGAAAAAAATCATTTAATGAAATGAAAAGTTTATTAAAGTAATTATTGTAACAAGCTATATTTGTTGTGTTCCCATCTCAACCCCATCTTTTTTTTTAAATTTTCCTTCCTGTTTACCATTTTTCAAGTGTCATGTAATCAGGATTCGATTCTCGGCGACAAATGAAATTGCCACAGAGAGCTTTAGTGAAGTATACTTCATTTTGCTTATTAAATAGATTAGGTTTCTTGGTCCGATTGACCAAATAAATTCTTTTCAATTAATTAATCCGTAAGTAAGGTATTGGTTGAGATAAAAAGAGTAATAGAGGGAAAATTTAAAAAAAAGATGGGGTTGAGATGGGAAGTTGGTGTCCGAGCGGATCGAAGTCACGATAGCTCAAGTGGTAGAGCAGCGGCGTATTTAGCTGAATGTCGTGGGTTCGAATCCCGCTCGTGAAACTGACTTTTTTATCTCAACCAATACCTTACTTAAAGATGGATTAATTGAAAAGAATTTATTTGGTCAATTCGACCAGGAAACCTAATATAATTACTAATAATACTACATCAAATATATCAATTACTGACAAACCAACATACATTTCCATGCCATTCATTCACGGCCTATCACATAAACTAAACACATTTCTCTCTTCTGATAACTTTAATATAGCCTTCAAAAATAAAAAAACAATTTACACACTTTTTACCAACATTAAAGATCAAACACCAGTCACAAATAAGTCTGAGGTAATTTACGAAATCAATTGTTTAAACTGCAACTTACATCGGAATTACATCCCAATATCCGGATAAGAGGGTAAAGCTATGATTGCAAAAAAACCAAACAAAATCCTACAGCACTGGCTGCCCAATATTTTGAACACCAACACAATTTCGACTTCGATAATCCATAAACGTAACTTTTTAGAAATAGTTTACACCAAAAGAGATAAACACAGCATCAATTACAGAAGGGACACATGTAAACTCAGTCGCAGCTACGCTTATATCATTAATCAAATTCAATATCGATAACATGCATGTATCATCATCACATCACACAAAACATATAACATGTAAAACAATCATTACATTCCACACATCAAACATTTATTTCTACATAGTCTAATTCTTCTACAATTTGTCTCGCCTTTCCCTAATTATCTCTGTCTATATAATCCTGAAAGGATAACCAGGCCGAAGCATTACCCATTTGTCCCCATTTTCGGCCCTTTCACCTCAAATAAGCCGACTCCTCATATAAAAATGTTTTTGTATCCCGACTTCCTTCCCCACCCAATCAAAATCCAACGTATATAAACATAAAACATCAATATCTCAATGACACATCTACATTTTGAGTGAGTACAAATACTTTGATTGAGTCTAAAATTTTTAGCATTGTACAAATTCATTTTTTCACGTCCTACATGTATTTGTATAATTTAAACAATATTTATAAATCCCAGGCACCGAAGATGATCTCAGTAAAGATCGAAACGTTGGCACGATAAAGAAACTGTTTTTGTAAAACCTACGTCTCACCAGACCGCATCTCACGATCTACAAATAATCATTAACTAAATATCACTAAACACCACACATTTTACATTTATTTATACTTTGTATATTTTAATTTTGTACATTTTTGGCATATTGTTTTAATGAAATTATTTACTTTAACACATATTATTTAGCAGTTAGTTAAAAATTATGATTACATTAAATAGAAGCCCATTTTATTTATATTTTTATTTAGAAATCGTGAGATGCGGTCTGGTGTGCTGTCGGTTTCAGAAAAACATTTTCTTTATCGTGCCAACGTTTCGATCTTTATTGAGATCATCTTCAGGGTCTGGGATTTACAAACATTGTTTACATTTAACAAATATATTTAGGATGTGGAAAAGTGAATTTATACAATGCAAAATATATTTTTTATATATTCAATCAAAGTATTTCTACTCACTCAAAGTGTTTGTCTTCTGTGTAAGTGTGCCATTCTTGCGAGTCGTGTCTAGAGTGCCAGTGAGATTTTGCTATTTTGTGTTTATATACGTTGGATTTTGAAGGGGTGGGGAAGGATGTCGGTATAGAAAAGATATTTTTGTATAAGGCGTCGGCTTCTTTGGGGTGAAAAGAATAGAGGTGAAAATAGCAAAATCTCACTGGCACTCTCGACACGACACGCAAGAATGGCTCAATTATACAGAAGACAAACACTTTGAGTGAGTACAAATACTTTGATTGAATATATATAAAAAATATATTTTGCATTGCATAAATTCACTTTTCCACAACCAAAATGTAATTTTTATAGGATTTCTAAATAAATATCGATTAACGGTCACTAATCACCACACATTTATTTATATAATTAAATTTTGGATGTTTAAAATGTTCAGGAGTACTGACTTTATCAGTGGTGCTCTAGTTTCTCTAGTGCTTGATGAACAGGTGTATGTCAGGTGTTCCCAATTTTGACTCCTTCCGGATTGGCAATGGTTTGAAACTGTCTGTGTTGTTTTAAAATTTATTTAGATGTCAGTTGTTATTCTATCTTGATAGACGGAAAGAAACTTTATGTCCATTCCCTTTTATTGCTGTTTTCCCATTCTTGACTCAATTTTTCGATCACCCTTTTTCTAATTGAAACGTTGTGGGGAAAAACAGGCTAAGTACACGATTTGTTTTTCCAAATGAAAATTTATCCATATTGCAAAAATATTTTCAATATTTAATTTTTGATTTGATGTGAAAGGTGTTTAAATTTAAAAGCTGTATTTTTCATTAAATTTTTAAGAACAGCCTAGTGCTTCAAACATAATGGTAAATCGATTTTTTGCTCTCCTGTAAAATTTAGAAAAATGGAGATGTACTGTTTTTCCCCTGACCCCTTCAATTGGTTTCTGCAGTTCGGAAATAGGCTTTCTTTATATCTCAGGTGACAATGAAAATCCGTAGTCGCTTCTTTAGTTTTTGATAGCTATTTCGTCACGAGAATTTTCTACCCGTGCTTTTATCCAGGATATTCCTATTTTCCATCTTTTATGTTTTATTAATTCGTATCTTCTTGATCTGTACTGGCAATGGGCATTGGTTTTTGTAATTTTTTTTATTGCACCAAATGAAACATGGCTGTCAGTCCAAATTCGGACTGTATTCTTTTCCTCCTCTTCATTATCAACCATTCCAAAGCTTTCAGAATCGCCAGCGATACGCGAGATGGTTGTCGCTAACCGTAATTGAAGTGACAACAGTCAAACTTGACTTTGGATAGCATCGAATTACACACAATCATTGTTGACGTTTCCCCAGTAATCCAGTCTTGATTGGGATAACATTGACATTCAATGAGACCGACAACTACCTACGTAGCAAATTGCCCACGTGTTATGTTATTATCATATCCATTGGCAAAAAATTTCGTCAATGTTCGATTTTAATTATTTTTCGATCAAACACAAGACTAACTGTAAAAGATGGTGTTCTGGGTGTTATTCAGATACCTTGATCAATTATTCAGCCTTATATCCTTTTGGATAACAGGATAATCCTTTTGTTTCTAGGATCTATTATAAATTTCAACACACGCATTCTCCTTTATGTAGGGAGAAATTAAATAGGTAATGCAGTGGAGTGATTAATGAGTGAGCACAATATCTAAATGATAAATGGAGGAGTCATGTCAGATCCAGGACCTTTTTCAGACTTAAGGTTGATTTTTTTTTTTTTTTTTTTTTTTTTTTTAGAAATCTTGAGATGCGGTCTAGTGTGATGTAGGTTTCAGAAAAACATTTTCTTTATCGTGCCAACGTTTCGATCTTTATTGAGATCATCTTCAGGGCTCAAAGTGTCTGTCCTCTGTGTAGTTGTGCCATTCTTGCGTGTTGAGAGTCTCTCATTTGGATTTCTAAATAAATATCGGTTAACGGTCACTAATCACCACACGTTGATTTTTTTTAAGAATTGCATCGGAATTAATGTTAATTTAAGAGATATTCAGAAATTTGCTAGAGTTCAAGTTGACCTGTTTTTTAACTTAATTTGTTTTTTTATTTGATGGTAATGTCCTAAAAATGTAATTATTTTCATGTCAGGTGTATCATTTGCAATTGTTATTTTGTGATTTCAGGGGCACCGAAGTATTCGAGGTCAGTTTCTTTGCAAAAGAAGCCGATATTAAATTTGAAGTAACAGAACCTGTCAAAGTGAGTAGTTGTTATAATTTTACTATTACAGGTGGTAAGTATGAAGTATACTGAATATTATGACAATTATATAGCCGTTGATGGCTTTATGTTGACTTTTGTGGCTGATTCATATCTATTTATCTGGTTCGTTCACGGGATTCGAACCCACGATCTCATCTCAACTAAAAACCTTAATTAATTATAATATATTAATTGGTGCGGACCACGAAATTAGTGAATTTAATGATTTAAAATGAAGTATACTTCACTAAAACTCTCTGTGGCCATTTCATTTGTCGTCGAGAATCCTATCCGATTACACGACATTTGAAAAATGGCAAAAAGAAGGGAAAATTCAAAAGGTGCAATTGAGATGGGAAGTTAGTGTCCGAGTGGATCGAGGTCACGATAGCTCAAGTCGTAGAGCAGCGGCGTATCTAGCCGAAGATCGTGCTAGATTTTAAGAAAAATCTTTCCTTAAAATATCATAAAATTTTCTATAAATAAATCGTAGGTTATGAAAATAATTTAAATCAAGATTTAACTTTAGGAAAAACTCACTGACAAATAAAAAATCCCCCCCCCCAACTGACTATTTTTCATTTCCTCGATAAAAGAAAATTCTGCCCTTAATTTGTCACATTGTTTTTATTAGTAAATATTTGTTTATGTTATGTTTTAAATTGGGAATATCAATTAGAAACTAACACATTTAACCCTTAATCCAAAACAAGGATAAAGGATTTTGCAATGTTTAATTTTTACGGAATTTAAAATGTTTATTCGGTCTCATTTGAATTCTGAAGCAAAAACTGTTTAGTTTTCATCGTTGTTTTCTTAATTTTCAATTTTTAAATTTAAAAATGCAATTTAGTTCTGAGGATGTTGTGCATGTATGTGGCAATGTAATGTGGCACTTATTGATGATGGACGTTCCATCAGGTATGCGGCTATTGCCATCGGAGTTCCTTACGAAACTATGCGAGACGCCGTTAGACGATTTGGAGAAACTGAGTCCTACCATAGAAGGCCCGGTTCTGGACGCGCTAGGGTAACAGAACCTCAGGATGACCGTTTTTTGACTTTGAAAATTTTCAAGTTCGAGGTGTCCAAATTTCTGAATCCTCTGCTAGAAGAAGATTAAATCAGTATGGACTGATGGCTTTTCGCCCCGTAAAAGGACCAGAATTGACCAGAACACACAGAGTTGCTGCTCCCATTTGCTGGAGAACACAACCATAGTCTTCGGACGATTGGTCTGTTGCACTTTTTACGGCTGAGTGTAGATTTCGTCTACGATCTCCAGGTGGGCGTGAAAGAGTGTGGAGAAGGCGAAATGAAAGGTAAGTAGCCTGTAATTTTTCCCAGAGCCAACCTTTTCAACCTAACTCAGTGTTGGTGCGGGCGGGAATTTCAATTGAGAGTCGCACCGAGTAGGTTGTTGTTCTTGGAGGGTCTTTGACGGCCACTTGCTATGTGAATAAAATTTTGGAACATCATGCTTTGCCTATCCTTTTTGAAATCTGCTACAATCCTATTCCAGTGTATGATAATGCCCGTCCATATGCCGCTCGCCTAGTACAAACGTACCTTCAACAGCATAACATCAGGGTCATAGCCTGGCCAGCCCGTGTTCCAGACCTGAACCCCATGGAATATTTATGAGATAACCTCAAAAGACGAACGTCCACCACTTCCTGATACCCTCCACGATCTTAAAAGTTCTCTTCGTGAAGAATGAGCTAACCTCCAACAAAGAGACATTTCCAGATTGGTAGAAAGTATGTCGCGGCAAGAAATACGCTATATTGAAATGTTAATTAAAAATCTAAAACAAAACTAAAATAAATTTTATGTCCGTCTGTTTTGAATTTTTGTATTATTATTTTTTTCATTTTTCTTAGCAATTTACATTTATTTTTACTTTTTTAGGCAAAGACTCAATTATTAACCGCAAAAAACGTGAAACTTAGATTAATATATAAAAATATATACAAATCAAGTTATATTACAAGTGGCAGAATTTTTTGCCTGTCTGTGAATATTCTGATTATATCAGGTAAAGCAGTCATGACAAATCCATTCAATCATGTTGCTTTGCCAAAAAACACCATCCTAATATTTTCATAGTTTTTTACTCCTTTAACAAAACTTGACATCGACTGGAAAAGACCATAAACAAAAGACATCAGGGTTGTAAGAAAGACAAGATGGTATGACCAGCCATTTATGTGAGTTCCGTGACAAAAGTGGTCAGTATAGGATAGTCTTGATGCGCCATTATTTAAATACTGTTTGATAAATTTGTTTATTGAACCTCCACTACTTTAACAAATTGTTAAATATGAAGCCCCCAATATATCCTGCAATCTAAAAATAAAATACATTTGTCATTTTTACATCAAACATTTTTCCGAACAGAACAATCAGGTATTCTCTTTGTAGATCTGTCAAAGCTATGACCGGCTTTCTCTTCAGCAACATCTGGGAGAGCAGAAGCTATTCAGAGTTCTGCTACCAAGAAAATTATTTATGTTGTATGAGTTCACTAAATACAACCCTACACTGATGAAATAATAAATGATGAGAAAAAAATTAGACCTAGTCTAGAATAGTTATAATATGATCTTATTTTGTCTGAAAATATCACAATACTGACTCATAATTTGAATTAATGTGGTTGTTTTTATTCACGAAGGTGTATATGCATGAGGTGCGGGATGTCTCGCCAAGAGGAGGGTTTCTTTTGAACCTCGGACAGAAGCTTAACGTCTTGTTTAAAAGCCGGGAAACCATTGCTGAGCTTGAGACGAAATCTATCGATTTTGAACTTCGTAACTGCGTGGTACAGGGTGAACGTTGGAAAGGCGTTTACAGCAGGTCTATCTGTAAAAACCGCTGTCAAGCCAAAGCCCAGACGTTGGTCTGCAACTGTAGCCACCATTTGTTGCGACAAGGTAAGTACTTACACAATATAGCAAAATAATGTTTCACTTTACAATTTTACAGATCTTTCCCAGGCCTGTGATCTCGACGGGCTTCAATGCCTGGACGATAATTCAAGTAAGTTTTATATAGCCTAAATATAAAATGTCCATCACTAATTACTTATTTGTTGAAGGAAAGATCAAATCAGAAATGAGCTCTTTCTGTGATTGTGGAGAAGCATGTGATGAAATCATGCCAAAAATTATTTCAAAAAAATTATCAAGGTAAAATTACTAAAACAATTTTTCCTTAATTGATCATCACTTATCTTTTATTACTATTCGATTTTGTAAAAAACAACCGTCCAAGGGCAAGGCCTGAAATGCATTAGCAATTAAAATAGCATATGGTGGTTTGACGTAGTGGCTAGGTTAAAAAAAAAATTCTCAATTTGTATTTATTTTCCACCCATTATCGAAGTGAATACTGCTTAGTGATCTCAGGTCTGAGATTCTGGTGTTTCAAAGAGATTAAAGTAATTAAATTAGTTGGCACTTGATCTGCTGAAGTTGAATGTTTTATTGGTAGGGGTTGAATATAATTTCTGAAGTGTTGCAGGGAGACTCACTTAGCCCTATTTTATTTTCACTTTTCATTAGTGACTTAGTTGATTTTAGGTTCAGGGATATAACAGGTTTAATAAATAGGGTTAATTATTGTTTTGGTTAGCTTGTTATTATCCAACACCCCCACAACATCCTCAGTTTGTTATTTACGATCAGCCAATAGAAACTAAGAAAGCGATCAATTATGTCGGTGCCAAGTTTTCCAGATCTTTAAACAGGCCCAGTTCAATTATCTTAAGGGCATTTGGTTCAGTTAAATCAAATATATACTACAAGGTAGCGTCCTCGGCCCCAGACTTGCAGTGGACAAGTAACCTACTACAGGTGTACAAGATCAAACTTATAATACAACCAATTAATTAAGGTTTTAAGTTGAGATAAAAAAGTCATTGTCATGAGCGGGATTCGAACCCACAACCTTCGGCTTGATACGTTGCTATTCTACCACTTGAGCTATCGTAACTTCAATCCCGCTCGTGACACTGGCTTTTTTATCTCAACTAAAAACCTTAATTAATTGTAATATATTAATTGGTCAAGCGGACGACGAAAAATAATGAATTAAATTAAAGTATACTTCACTGAAGCTCTCCGTGGCCATTTCATTTGTCGCCGAGAATCCAATCCGATTACACATTTGAAAAATGGCAAAAAGGAGGGAAAATTCAAAAGGTGGGGTTGAGATGGGAAGTTAGTGCCCGAGGGGATCGAAGTCACGATTGCTCAAGTGGTAGAGTAGCGGTGTATCAAGCCGAAGGTTGTGGGTTCGAATCTCGCTCGTGACACTAACTTTTTTATCTCAACTTCAAACCTTAATTAATTGAATGTTATTAATTGGTCAAGCGGACCACGAAAAATAGTGAATCTTATAATACACCCATGAACTGACTAAAATGGCAATCAACATCATCCATGGCATACAGTGGAAGATCAAAATAACAATAGAAAATTTATAGACAAACCAAATGCTTTCAACAGTAAAGTATATAGTAGCATCTTAGAATTTTGTAAACTGACAACCGTCACTGAATACTACACATTTTGTAAAATATTTAGGACACTTGAATTGAAAATAACCTGACTTCAAATACCAACAACTGTATTGATTGCTGGAAAGCAATTACCACCTATTTAATACAAATAAAATCATGATTTACAATCATATATTAAACTTTGGAAGGACCTCCACATACTAGAGTAGCTGAGTGATCAGTGTGATACTCTCGGCTTCGTAGACTATGAGGTCATTGGTTAGAATCCCACCGCCGCACATTGCCCGTTTTGTTTCTGCACAATAATTCATAACATTCAAGAATTGAGCTTATATAAATCAATCAAATAGTACAATAATCTTTTTTTTTTCAAGGTACAAAGGGCACAATGGGAAAGCAAATTTTGTTCTTTCTTTTCCTCCGACAGAACGATTAATAATGAAATCGAAAACCAACAATTTAGAAAGATTGGGTGAGTCAATGGCAAATTATATTTACCGATTCATGAATACATTAACTTTATTTATTTGTATGCTTTCAGTTGCTTTGGCCTGTATCTCAAGATGGCTCACAAACTTAAGCCTAATGGACCTTTTCAGATTGTTCATGGACAATCTTTTCAAGCGAAAGGAGCGAAGTTTTGAAGACAAGTCTATTTTATATTAATAAATTATTTCTTTTAAATAAAATGAACCAAGAACCCAGTGGTTGCAAATTATTTAAAAAAATATAGATATAAAAATTTATATGTTTACAAAAACGTTAAACATTGTGTTTGTTGGCCAACAAGGGTTAATAAAATTTTCTAAGTTGAAAAGTTCACAATTCTTATTAATTAATATATATAGAAAAAGTTTTATTTGATCCAAACTGGTAAAGATAAAAATGGCAAGGAAAGAGTATACTTTTGTATTGACGTGGATTACTCTAAAAGGGTTTGAGTGGCAAGTTCGCCATTATTTCAAAGTGGGAGGGAGTTTGGAAAAACTTACAATTCCCCCCCCCCCAATCATCATCCTTTCAACAAACAAATGCTTGCAATAAAATGCGTATGTTCAAATAAATAAATTCAATATTGAAATTACTTGCTAAATTATGCTAAAAAGGCTGAATTTTGAAACAAATTAGAATGACATTCTTATTTCATCTCATTGCAAGTGTAGGTATGAGTCAAGAGAAATGACCATTTTTTATTTATCTACTTTTTTATTATTAGATGTGTTATTTGTGTATTGGCTAAATATTTTTGTTATTAATAAATAACCTTTGAAAATGTTATTTTTTCTGGTTTATTTTCAATCTGCACTCATACTGATTTCATGTTAATTTTTAAGCTTTTTATAATTTTTTTTACTTTTATCATCTTGAAATCAGTCGAAACAAAAAAACATGAAGTAGTCTTTTTAAAGATAATTGTTACTCACAGTTTGCTGTTTTCAACTATCCGGTTTTCAAGCTTAAAGCTCATCATCAGGTTCAAGGACAACCACACTCAACATGAATTGTAACCGTGAACCCGCCAAGCGCCTTACACTGATCCCCAGTCAACATTACAATGAGAAGCTAACAACTAAATATTTATCCTAATAAATCCTATTAGAAGTGCATTGCACATTGCAGTGAGGGGGTGGGTTTCGGAGCTGTTTTTTTTTTGTTTTTTTTTACAATGAATACCAGGAACTGGAGGAGTCCCCCCCCCCTATTGTACAGCTTATTGTACTTTATCCCTGGCTCCATATTTTTGGGGGCTCGCAACACAAGTGTGAATTTGAACTCCCAGTGTGCCATTGTTCTTCCATCGAAGAAACTCATGTTTGAAGTGAGTTGGGACCAAATTCAGGGACGCTGAGATCTGATCCCGCTCCTTCCATTGATGAGTGTCGTGTCAATTTCTTTCAATTGTGGCCACCGGTCCCCTTAGGCGTCAAAAGTCCTACGGCGACATTGGGGATCAAACCCACGACCGCAGGATCTACTAGCCGAGAGTCTGACGCCTTAACCGCTTGGCTACCGTGGCCCCCTTCGTTGCTGTCGAAAATGATTCAAGAGCACTGGAAAACAGCAAGACATACATTTTTGCACATTACCAACACTGCCAAAAATACAGATATTATATTACCATGTTGTGCAAACCTAATTTTTTTTTTTTTTTTTTGTTCTTTAGAGTAAATATTTACAAAATAATGTTCTTCCACTTGTATATAAATCTTATTTTTTCCTTACAGAAGATCAGTTATAATTTAAAAGTCATTCGACAAGTGTAGTGTATTTAAAAATTTTAAAATAAATTAACAGATTTGAATAAGTTCGATAATTATTGTACTCATCGTATATTATTATAAAATTTCCATTTACAATATAATTATATTTACAATTTCACATTTTATCATGTAACCCAGCATACTGATACCAAAAATTACTTTTCCAGTCAATTACAAGGTTTCTATCTGGTAGCTAAAAACCGATATATAAATATGCATTTAAATTATTATTATTTTTTTTTTTTTAAATATTCTAATAATGATGACCACAATTTTTTATGTGATAACCAATGTTTTGTTTTATTTTATCTAAACTTCAATGCAATGTACAATATAAAGAATACAAAAAAAGAGAACAAGAACAGGTATAAAATGTAATAGTTGTGGCTTCCTTTGGACAGGCGCAATACTCGGTTTATGGTGTTGCCGAGGAAACCTCCTGTCCGGTCGAAGTCCTCATCCATGTCCCTTAGAAGCTTGTCCTGGTATTTGACCTCATCGGCGATGTCGATTGATAGTGATTTGAGAGCACCGATTTTGTCCTTCAGATTCTCTGTCATCGCGTCGTTTTCCTCTTCCAAGCCGGCCACCGCACTCCCGTCGTAATTTTGGGGAAGAGGCTGGTAATAGTTTCCACCGTGTACACGTCGCATTTTGTCTAAAATTCAATAATAAATACTGATTATTAACCAAAAACCATTAAATTTTGTCCAATTAAAATTTATTTTGTAGTGATACAACATCTTGTTTCATTTTGTAAACTAATATTAATAAGCCTAAAGAGGATGAAATGTTGGAAAACTATTCATTAGTGCATTTATAATTACATAAATAAAATAAATAAATTTATCACTGATATAATTAATATAAGGCTATATTAAACATCTTGGATAAGGCCAATTTGAAAAGAAACACTAAGTTCCTCAATCAAGCTATCGGAGGATGTATACACTTCATCAAGGTCTTGATAGCTCAAGTGGTAGAGCAGCGTCATATCTAGTCGAAGATAATGGGTTCGAATCCCACTCGTGCCATTGACTTTCATCAAGATATTGATACTATTATTAATTTCACTAATTTCATGGTCCACTTGACCAATTAATATATTACAATTAATTAAGGTTTTTAGTTGAGATAAAAAGTCAATGGCACGAGCAGGATTCGAACCCACGACCTTCAGCTAGATACGCTGTTGCTCCACCACTTGAGCTATAGTGACATCGATCCACTCGGACGCTAATTTCCATCTCAACCCCACCTTTTTGAATTTTCCTTCCTTTTTGCCATTTTTCAAATGTCGTGTATCAGATTGGATTCTCGGGGACAAATGAAATGGCCACAGAGAGCTTTAGTGAAATGTAATTAATTTTAAATCATTAAATTTACTATTTTCGTGGTCTGCTTGACCAATTGATATATTACAATTAATTAAGGTTTTTAGTTGAGATAAAAAAAGTCAATGGCACGAGCGGGATTCGAACCCACGACCTTCGGCTTGATACGCCGCTACTCTACCACTTGAGCTATTGTGACTTCGATCACCTGGGGCACTAACTTCCTTCATTAATGATAGCTCAAGTGGTAGAGCAGCAGCGTATCTAGCTGAAGGTCATGGGTTCGAATCCCGCTTGTGACACTGACTTTTTATCTCAATTTAAAACCTTAATTAATTGAATGTTATTAATTGGTCAAGTGGACCATGAAAAATAGTGAATTATTAATAATAATTTACAAGGTTACCAAATATGGATAATCTTTGTAGACTACGTGTGCTTGTCTGGCTTCTACATTAATAATTGCCTAAGGTTTCCATTAAAATAACTATCCATCTAAATAACCATCCCTAACCATTAAAATAACTATCCATGTCATATTTATTACAAAAGCTTGCTATCAGCTCTAAAGAAAAAAAAAATAATCGAAAATTAATCCCTTATAACTATCCTCACTGGGTTTGTCCAACAGACCTTTTGATAAATTAAAAAAGGATACGATTGTCAAATAACCACACAGTCCAACCAGTGATTGCTCAATGCTAAAATCATCAGAAAGAAATGTAAGATCAGGGAGAGCTAAGGTGATTTTATTACCATGTAAATATTGCTACAAATGATATGATAAACAAGCTATCAATGTTAAATAATGTATAACAAAAATAGTTTTAATAGTTGTATATAGTTAAAAAAGCTATAATTTGGTGGTTTACAATTGTTCTGATCTTCCCTCTTTACTGTTTAGGTGTACAACAGTAAAACAGTGTAATAAAGGACATTTATATCCTACAAATCGCCCCTGAAAATGGCAAAATGTTGAAATGCATCATACCGAAATAGTCAGGTTGATTAGAAATGATCAAATAACAGATCCATCAGCCTGCAGACTTTAAGGAGAAATTTTAGACAACAAAAGCCATACTACTATAAAATTTGATACTTTATCATCCTAGTTTTCTTGTTCGGTTTTTTTCCCTCCCCTTCTATTAGATGGAATCTGAACTTAAATTATGCCACAGGTATATCAGAGAGTCATTGGGCTAATTGTAACACACATTTCAACATTACATCTTCAGTGTTGGGGGCATAATTGGTGTTATAATAATTACTTTAAAATTAGTTACTTTGACATTTTTGGCATACAGTGTATACCCATCATACAACCCAATGAGGATAGGCAGAGTAAAATAATTGGTAACTGTCAAATTATAAATTGGTCTATTTGCAGATCGTGAGATGCGGTCTAGTGTGATGTAAGCTTACAAAAATGTCTTTATTGTGTCAACGTTTCAATCTTGAGATCATCTTCAGGTCTCAAAGTGTGTTCTGTGTAGATGTGTCAGGATTGTGTGTCAAGTTGAGTGTAAAAATTAGAACAGAGTAAGAAAACCGAATTTAACAAATGTAAGCAATTGAGAGATGCACCTATGGCCTAGACCAAAATACACTGATGGACATAATTAACTCACCACGCTAAAATTTAAATGCATTTAAGTTTATATTTCATATCAAAAATAGGTTTGGTGTAAAAATAAGACATTTAAAAAGAAAATGTTTATTACCTAATTCTAAAAAAATAAATTTAATAAAAATATATTGAGTAAAGAAAAAATAATTCAAAAAGAAATAATATGTTCAAAAAAATTTTGTTGTCCCCTTTAATTCCAATTTTTTCCACATCTGGCATTAATCACTCGCGATAAACACATTTGTATTCCTTAGAACAGATTTCTGGTAAAATGCTGAGGAATTCTTTTCAATTTACAAAGACCAGCCTCTTCTAGAGTGTTAGGACCTGGATGTGCTGTGATAACATCACTTAAGTTGGTCCCAAATGTGTTCAATTGAGTTCAAATCTAGACTTCTAGCTGGCCAAACTAAGCACCACATCCAATGTCATTCAGGTAGTCATCCAAAGTACGTGCTCCATGGGGACTGGCATTAGCAACAATCTCTAACTGATGCGGTGGGCATATGGCATTATATGTTCTTCAATAATGTCTTGTGAGTATTTTTCTGAAGGAAGAGATCTTCCTCATTCGACCAATTCAGTCGACCCACAATGGAATGCCACCTAAGAAACCATATACCTTTCCTGATGTCAGCCTGATGACAGATAAATCTATCGTCTCTCTCATACTTAGATCTAGGTTGACCCTGTCCTGGCCTTCTACTGCGAAGCCCTTTTTCTCTGTAGTGCAAGAACCCTTTCTATGGTAGTGTCACCCTCACATTTTGGGGATGACACTTTCAGTCACTTTTGGAAAGTGAATGGGGCACATTAGAATGCTGAGTGGGGGAAGGTCGAAGGAGGGGAGATGTTGGAGTTGAACTGGAAAAAAGAGATCAGGTGTGTTCCAGACTCGATAACGGTTGCTTGAAACTAACATAAATTCTGCCTTAAGTAGTTACCACCAGGGTGATTTGAGCGATTGTGCTGTACCATTGTGTGGTTGCAGGTTGGAATTGGGGAAAAGAGTTAAACGTCTCACTTACCCTATGTTACAATTTTGGTTTAGCTTGTATATATACGTTCTGTAAATATATTTTGTTTTCAGTCAATTTATTTTCAGCAAGTGTGGTTTTATTTGTTTTATTTTACTTTTCCTCTACCCTTTACTATCCCCAGTTTTAGAAGTATTGGACCCTTATTTGTCGTGGCGTCGAATGATCGACGTCACAGTAGAATGATTTACACTGCCTCCTGGCAACTTCGCACTGACTGTATTCACCCTGTAATAATGTTATGGCCCTGACACTGACATTCGCGCAAATGCCTGACTGGAGCCATTGAAAAAGGTTTGTGAATAAGAACAATATCAAATGAAATCAATGGCAAAAATAGATTAACTTATGTGATCTTTAGGCTAGCAGAATGGAAGGGCATAATGCTACTTTTTGTGCGAATGGGAATAATCAGTACAAAAATAAATAAAGGAAATAAACCAACCATTTATTATTTTGACTATGAGAGCTCATAATTACCTGTAAATGCAGAAAGATAATTGATTGAATTGTAAACTAAATAAATTGAATGGTGCTTTAAATTTGTCCATCAGTGTAAATTGTGTTAAGGCGTTTAGGCTGATTTACTAGGATGATTCATAAGTCTTGAGTCAAAAACTTTGAGCCTCTACATGTTCCTCAGAAGTTATTCAGAAATCGTGAGATGCGGTCTGGTGTACACCAGACCACATCTCACGATTTCTGAATAATTATCGATTAACGGTCACTAATCACCACACGTTCCTCAGAAGTCTGCAGTATCCAGTCAGCGGTCATGTCATTCAAGTCCTAGGTTTAATAATAGCAGTTTTATATAGTTTCTGCAGTAGACCTTTAATAAACATTTTCACATTCATTGGACGAAGGTAAGTTTTATGTAATTTGGCATGCCTAAAAAAGGTTCAGGGCTGATGAGCGTAGTCAAACTTTCCCTGGCCAATTCATCAGCCTCCCTCATTGCCGATCGGTATGAGAACTGACCGGGAGAATGGAAGCGTGAAAGGTGTTTGAGAGGATCATAAGGGTTCAAATCATCGTGGAATCATCGTTTTCTTTCTACTGACCGTTTATAGACACTTTAATTGAAAAATCTATAAAATGTAGTGTCAATTGTCAGTTTATTAAAATGTCTGGTTAACAGAAGTGTCTGTCTGGGAAAATTGGACTGAATCTACTCAACAATTATTTACTATTGGCAATCAATAAACTTTTTAACCATTTAATAAATGAGATACTCTTATTATTGAGTAAGTTGACAATTCAAAGATGAGACAAGAAGCTAAAAGCCTACCTTTAACAGATCATTTAACATGACAAGTTTTAAACTTAAATCACCTATAAGAAATAAATATAAAATTGTTATAAACGTGAAAAAAAAAACAAAGACGAGATAAAAAACGAATGACATGAAAAAGCGAGTAGAAACATTTAATTAACCTCTACCCCTGTTCATCTTCGGTCTCCTTTTTTCTTAGATGTCCTCGGCGGTCTGGTTTCAAATTGAAAACTTATAAATTGTCAAATGCATAACTTTTTAAAACGAAACTTTCAAGTTTTTAACTTTTCAACGAGCCACGTCACAACACATAATGAAAAGGCATACTGTAAACAGAACCTCCTCGTGGATCATTTTGATTTCTGACTATCGATACTTGACGTATCGAAAATATGACATCACCTTCGGAATGTAAGAGAAAACAAATTATTACAATTTTTTATTAATTATTTCATTTGAATTGTAATAGTTATTAACATCCTCGATGTATATATCATAAGTATTTCATCATATTTTGTAACAATAGTTATTATTATTTAAATCCATTATATTTAGTGACCAAATTACTTCTTTCAATTGATTAATCTTTTTATGTAAGGTTTTGGTTGAAATGAAAAAGTTTGCCCTACGAGCAAGATTCGAACCCATGACCTTCGGCTAAATACACCGCTGCTCTACCACTTGAGCTGTCGTGACTAGTTATTATTATTATTATTTTAAGCCTGGGGCTTCCGACATCTAGGTCATTTCACCCCCCAACTAAGTCTATATTCTATTTACCCTTTCAAACACTACTTTCATACAAATAAATACATTCATACACATAAATACATCCGTACAGTACACTCATTCCGTTTGGTCGATGGAGTACTTGATATTCCTCCACCGACCTATACTCAAACTAATCTAGATTGGGGACGATGGAGTACTTTTATAAATATTCCGCCATCGACCCCGAAAACACACTCATGCGCTCTCAACGTTCGAGGGGCGATGATGACGTTATATTTCATCCTCACCCCTCGCCATTCACGCTAATAAACACATGCACTCAAACAAAACATATAGACACACAACACATAAAACTATATACAATAAAAAAAAATTTCCCCTAAAAAGCGGAACAGGGGACCCAGAAACCCGCTGCAGTGCTCGATGGCATGCCATTTTCAGATTCGATGGCATGCCTACTCGCTCCCTGTAGGGAGCCAATGCATGACATGTTTCCAGTATGTGGGACACGTCCAGCAACCTTTCTCTGCATAAGAAGCACCTGCGCGGGTTTTGGCCCAAGAGCAGGTGCCCGTGTGTCAACCGCGTATGGCCTATTCTTGTCTAAAGAATAAAGTCTAAAGACGATTCCTTGTTTCCGGCTCAAGTTCTCGTGGGGCCATCTACGAATCGTGCTCTTGACGCGCAAAAGCCTCTCGGACGACCCGGCCCACTGACGCTGCCATCTTTCATCATGTTCTTTACTGCTAGCTTGGCGTCAGGGGGCCTGGTCGTGATGGTCCGGTCTGAAGGGTGGGACGTCCCGACTAGTTATTATTATTACAGTATTCTTAATTATAGCAAAATTATTATTAGTATTCGATATTCGTCCATCATCATTTACTTATTTATTTTAAAGGTACTGATATTTAAGCCCTCCTCTTAAATGTGTCGGGGGGGGGTCTCTGGGAAAAATTAAGCGTCCTTATTCGTGCTGTGGCCATACAAATAAATTATTATTTGCCCCAGAGGTTTTAAAGGAACAATTTTATACTTAATCGTAAGGATGTTTTAAAAAAAATATTGAAAATATTGATTGCTGTAATTGTTATAATTAATGCCTCCAAATAATAATTTTTGCCAACACAAAATGTAATAATATTGAAATGGAAGGAAATACTGCAGAGAAGGGCGAACAAAAATGAAGGGCACTAGCACGTTTATTCATCTTCCTCCTCCTCCTCTCCCTCGTTCTCGGATTCGTCCTTTTTGGTCTCCTTTTGCTTGGGTCTGCCTCTCTTTCCGGTTCCACCTGTGGTCTTCGCTTTGGGTTTTGCCGCCGCTTTCTTCGACGAGCCCTTGGGTCTGCCCCTGCCCGTCTTGGCGGGTGCCTCTTGGTCCTCAGTCACCTTCTTAGGAGACCCCTTTTTCGCAGCTGACCTCCCCCTCTTTCTTACCTCCTTTACATCTTCAACTTCGGCGTCTGCCTTACGGCATCCCCTTTTCTTTTCAACAACTCTACCGTCATCAGGCATTGTGTATTTATTTCTTTGAGACGACTTAACGAGCAGAACTATACACAGCGACCTGCAAATTACGAGAGACTACGACAGTTGCTGGACGCAGACTCCAATTAATAATATATGATATAAATAAGAACTAAGAGTATTTTTAATTATTTATTTAATTTAAATTTTTTATGGAAAATAAATTTAAAAATAAATTAATTTTTATAATTTTTTTAAATTTAAATGTTTTTACGTTACAACGCAATTATTGGAACTTGAAATAAATCTCGCTTATATAAAAATAAAAATATAATTCACATGAAAATAAATTTGTTTAACTAATAATCAACCAAAAATGGAAAATAAAAGGAAAGCATATCTAAATACCTTTTGAAATAACAACCTTTCTTCTCACGGTCCATCCAGAGTGTTTTTGTTTTAATGTTTTATTAAATTTCTCTATTGGTTATTTAATTTTAATTACATTTATTATAATTTTATTTTTACACCCATCCAGGAACACCTTGAGGTTATCGAAGACTGTGTAAAAAATGGAGGACACGACTGAACGAAGAAAAATGCACTCAGTGTACTTTTACGCTGAAAAAATAGTCTTGCCTTCCATTGTACGATACATCAACAAAAAAGACATACTAGTTTCCACTCAAGTCAGATACCTGGGACTATCTCGACAGCAGGCTGACTGAAATCCCCATACAAGACTTAAAAAACAACAACTTAATACTACGAAGACTTCTAAGACCGAACTAACACTGTACACTACTTTACTAAGACCAATAAGAACATACAGAGTGCACTGTGGGGTACTGACAGGCCTTCCAAATCCAGCGCATCCAGTCCTTCCAATCGAAAGTCATTAGACAAATTGCCAAAGCACCTTATTATGTCACTAACCTCATTATCCACAGAGACCTCAACATTCCTTTTGTCAACGAAAACTAATCATAAGTATCATGCATAGGTAACAAATAAATTGTTTTAAAAATTACACCTTTTTAGTTATTTCATTATTTACTTAATCAATTTTATATTATTACTAATTTCTTCTTATTTTTAATTACAATTAATTAAGGTTTTCAGTTGGGATAAAAAAGTCAATGGCACGAGCGGGATTCGAACCCACGGTTTTCGGCTAGATACGCCGTTGCTCTACCTCTTGAGCTATCGTGACCTCGATCCACTCGGACATCAACTTCCCATCTCAACCACACCTTTTTGAATTTTCCCTCCTTTTTGCCATTTTTCATTATTTTTAATGTATTCAATTTTTTTTACAATCTCTTTCTAAGGGATGTTCCACATATACATACTCTCCCCGACAAAATCATAGGCCACTAACAATTTTTTTTTCGATAATCATATTTCTAGAGATCAAGACTTTATAAAATTAAATTAGGTTGTACAAAATTTCAAATAACTAATTAACAATGTTTTAGTAATAAACCTGTAAAAAACCATGAAAATTCAACACCACAAAAATATAGACCAGTTCTTTGTTTTTAAGCGAATTTATTATTATACATATTATATTTACCTCAGTGGTGCGTTGTGGTAGAACAGCCGCGTATTTAGCCGAAGATTGTGTGTTCGAATCCCCCTCGTGACACTACCTTTTTCTTTTCAACCAATACTTTACATAAAGATTAATTAATTGAAAGGAGTTATTTGGTCAATCGGGGCATCAAATATAATGGATTTAATAATTTTAACCTGAAAATTTCCGAAATTAGTTGGTTATGCTTAAACGTGGCGACATTAAAAATATTTCCGATTTTAATGACCAAGAGGGACCGATATTACCAAGGGTAGAGAGCGTAAATCCGTCAAATATTTTCCATCATTTTCTGTTTCATGATTTCCAATTATTTTACGAAATAATTAATTTTTACTTTTTGTAAAAGGTTGTGGTGAAATTTGCTAGAAGTATGTTCTCCTCCGGCCATACTGGCCTGTCTGTTTCGGCATGTGCGCCACCTTCAGATTCAGTTTCGGGTTTGCGACTTAATTTACTTAGTCAAGCCCCTTTTGTACGTAAGTGAAATTAGTTCGGAGTGAAATAAGTGAAAGTAGGGTGAAAGGGGCCTGTCCGCTTTGGCTTTGTCCGATCGACCTCTTTGACGGATTAAGACTGGGTTTTCCGTTGTTTTCATCCTGTCAGTGTGCTTCGGTTGTTTTGTGCTATTGTTTTTGCTGGACAAGTAGTGTAAGAAATAAATCTGTTATTAATGCTTTGAATTTAATTGAATGAATTTGCAGGCAACAAGTTCCAGCCAAAGAACAGCAATATTTACTGGAATCAACAACTTCATATGTCATTATCATACAGGCCTCGTTTTTATTTTAAAGCTGCGTTTAATCTATAGTAATTTTGAAATGGTTTTTGATAAAATTAACTGTTCCATCTTGATGACGTTATGTTAAGTCCGAGATTAGACTGTAGTGGCCACTATTTAGTTTCCACGATATCGCTAGATGCCACTACGACTTATGGAATGCCCTCCACTCTGCAGCCAATCAGGGTAGAGCTCTTCCGTACATAAGCAGGGCACTGCCCCGCTGGAATCAGACTCGTCAGTCCAACGAGATCTCAACCATCACTAATGTAACCGACATCGGCAACAACGACAGCAGACTCGTCAGCCCGACGAGCTATCACTAATGTAACACCGTCGACGACAGCAAGAGTACTCGCAGCGTTAGCCTGAACGCCTTCTAAACAGCAGACTGGGCCATTAAGGCCAACTGCTGCCCCTCGGCTAATTGCTNCACGTTGGGAGAAATGTATTGAGAGTATGGGAAATTATTTTGATTAAAGAACATTGCTTTAAAGTAACTAGTTTCTTTTTTTTTGTTTAATACCAAAATCCTGCATTATTTTCCGGACAACCCAATAATTAGTTTCACTGGCATCCCTAACCATCCCCAATAATGGAACACCGTCGACGACAGCAAGAGTACTCGCAGCGTTAGCCTGAACGCCTTCTAAACAGCAGACTGGGCCATTAAGGCCAACTGCTGCCCCTCGGCTAATTGATACAATCCAGTACCTTCGGCCTCTGTGGAGTCAACCGACTCACGGCCCCCCTGACCTTAGCCAACACCCACCCTGGGA